GTGCTTTCGAACGCCGGATGTATTCCATGATCTTGTGTTCACCTTCACCGGGTACTTCATGACCAGACAGAACAATTTCAACTCCTTGCCAATCCTTGTCTTCCGAAATCTTCTTGTTAACGAAATACTTCAATTGTTCTGTCAACTTCGCCATGAACTCCGTTCCTGGAGTGATGCAATTGCTGTCAAATGCATCCTCCTTGGGCATTTCCACTCCCTGACTGATAGCCTTCTCCTTCGCTTGTTCGGCGTCTAGAGCTGTTCGGAATCGTCGCGCACGTTGTTGGTTCATCTTCGCACGGGGCGCAACACCATCAATGGCCATGAAGAAAAGCTTTTTCGGCTTAATCTTGCCGTACAGGTGTTCGATATAGTTGAATATAGCGATGAACATCTGATCCTCCGTCATGCGAAACGTTGGCGAATCGCTGTCCTTGTGCGTACAGTTGTGAATAATACCGTTCATGTCAAGGTATAGGTTATCAAATTCAGGTATCCGGTTCTCTGCGATGAGCATCGAGATGGCCGGATACCGCTCACTCAGCCAGCGAAAGAATTTCGGAACACCCATGATGAATTAAGCGTCAACGGTAATATCGTTACAGGAAAACAATACAGGTAGAGGTAATAACTTCGTCTTTCAATCGTCCGTTCGTTCGTCGGGTCGTCGTAATCGTCGTCAGAACCCAATGAAGGATCCAAGTTCACAAAGGATATACTCAGAAAACGACAGTGTGGTCGTAGACAAAAAGAAAGCACTGGGTATTCTCAGAGAACATGCGACACAAAAACAAAAACAATAGACAAGAACAAAATACCCCGGACTAATTGAAAAGGGAGCAGTACAATAAGGAAAGAAGTGATAAGAAAATAGGGCGAAAGAAACGCCGTTGGGTACAAGTTGGCAAGTGAGATTCCTCGTGGCAACGAAGTGGGAGGTTCCAACTTGCCCGCAGTCGTTCGGATAACAGTCATCATCATGCCAAGCCTGTTCTTTCCACATAGAGTCTAGTGGCTCCGAGACGCCCATTAACGCGCCTGGACGGGGAAACGTCGCGTTTCTCTAAGACAGACGAGAGAGCTTTCCCTGCTCGCAACTCTAAGCTCTGCTTGTCGAGAACCCTGACTAGTTACCCTTTACACCACTCTTGAAGATCCTTATTACTCTCTTTGTGTGATAATTGAGACGCCGGTAACCTTTTTTGTGTAATTTTTATAATTCTCGTTCCCAATTTCGCATTCTCAGGCCGCCATGGATAACTACGAGGAAGGCACGAATCAGCTCTGCAATTCCTTTGTTTTGTATGGAGCATTTGCTGACCTTACTTTTGGGTGCAGGATTCGAGGAGCAGGAGGAGAGAGAAGAAGAGCGCACTGAAGAGAAGATTATCAATGAGGGTAAGAAGAGCTGGCTGCAAACCCACAGATTCCGCTGTGACCGGAGAGCTAAAACGGGATTCGCATTGTTTAGAATACAAGACATGGAAAAAGAACGCACCGTTTCTCTATGACATGATTCTGAGTACGGCTTTGGAGTGGCCGACTTTGACAACACAATGGCTTCCGGATAAGCAAGAGTATGTACTCTCTGGTCAAAATCCCGTTGTGCCGAGTTGAGTTTGCTCATGTCTTCTTAGAGTCCCAGACAAACCCTACTCAACCCATCGCCTCTTGATTGGAACCCATACCTCGAGCGATGCGCAAAACTATCTACAGATCGCCCATGTGCAGCTTCCCAACCCCACGGCACCCAACCCCGATGATTACGATGAGGAACGGGGCGAGATTGGTGGATATGGAGGTAGCTCCAAGAAGGCCTCGATGGAGATTAAGTTCAACATTGTGCAGAAGATTGACCACAAGGGTGAGGTCAACAAGGCACGGTATCAACCGCAGAACCCCAACGTCATTGCTACCATGTGTACGGACGGAAGGGCGATGATCTGGGATCGTTCGAAACACCCAAGTCTGCCCACGGGGACGGTGAACCCTCAAATGGAGCTTCTGGGTCACACAAAGGAAGGCTTTGGACTTAGCTGGAGTCCGCATGTTGCGGGTCATCTTGCGACAGGTAGCGAGGACAAAACTGTTCGCCTCTGGTAAGACTGATAGATTTCTATTTTGAACAATTTGCCTAGGTACTGATTGTCATACAGGGACTTGACGACATACACGAAGGGTAACAAGGCCCTCAAGCCTTCTCGCACGTACACACACCACAGCTCGATCGTCAACGACGTCCAGCACCACCCCCTCCATTCGTCTCTCATTGGCACCGTATCCGACGATATCACTCTCCAGATCATCGATGTTCGGGAAGCAGACACGACTCGTGCGGCCGCTGCTTCCGCCGAGGGCCAGCACCGCGATGCGATTAACACTATTGCCTTCAACCCGGCTGCGGAGACGGTTTTGGCTACTGGATCGGCAGACAAGACTATTGGTTTATGGGATTTGCGTAATCTGAAGAGCAAACTTCACGCACTCGAATTCCACAACGACTCTGTCACCTCAATCTCCTGGCACCCATTTGAGGAGAGCGTCTTGGCCAGTGCAAGTTACGATCGTAAGATCATGTTCTGGGACCTTAGTCGGGCAGGTGAGGAACAGAGCCCCGAAGATGCACAGGATGGACCTCCAGAGCTGTATGTATCTCCTCAATTTGTCCTCAATATTCCGATGACAAATACTGACTTGAAACGATTTGCAGTTTGTTCATGCACGGTGGCCACACCAACCGTATTTCCGACTTCAACTGGAATCTCAATGACCCTTGGGTTCTTTGCTCCGCCGCAGAAGACAACCTGCTGCAGGTCTGGAAGGTATCCGATGCGATTGTTGGCAAGGATCTGGAAGATGTGCCGACTGAGGAATTGGAGCCGTGATATGGATTCGCACTGGGGGAAACGCATATGGATACATGTACGACGTGATTTTCACTCACTTCTTGTATTAATTGTTTTACTTCTAAGCAAGCCGGATGACGTTCAGAATTTTAAAAGGACTTTATTTACATCTGTTCATGCATGCGTGGCGCCGGACTACAGAAGACTTGTCATTTAGTCGCATAGACCCCCACTTTATTGTCCATATCGGCCCTTTTGAGCATATTCTGCTGTTACTGAAGTCCTGCTACATAGTACAGAGTATTCTAACCCATACTCTCACCATCTCAACCCCTCAGCGGGAGTCATATACCATGTCTTTCATTGGTCCAGTACCCTGGGCGGTGAACAATATCAGTAATCGGGGAACTGACGCCGGACAGACAAAAAAGCCGCCCCGCGGCAAAATAAATATAGACTTTGACTTCATTACCCCATCATCAACCATTTGCTTGTCATTTCTTTTATTTTATGATTCGGTGATTGAAGCCTGATATTTGCGTCTCCTTATCCTCCTCTTCATTTGCCTGCCTTACCCGGTTCTTGTCTTTATCTAGCACTGAAGTCATGGGTTCTGGGTCGCCCCCGGAGGGGCCGAAACCGAAGTCGGCCATTCCTCCCCATGTTCTGAATGGTAGTTCACCTCTTCACCTTTCTACTAGCACGCGCGCTGCCCGTGAGCGCGAAAGCCTTAATTCATCAATCCTTTCGTCTTTCTCTCCGCGCATACCGGCTGAGTTTGCTTCGTCCGAGACAGAGACACAACCCGCCGGCGATTCCAACGGTACCAATGCCAACAGGGATGACCAGAACGGTCCGACTCCTGCAGTACGCAGCTCAGGTAGCTCCAGGTATGCCGTCGCTTGGCGATATATTGTACTTGAGAAATTGACAAACAAATTCCAGGCCTACTTTGAATGACCCACCGCGCGATCCGAGAGATGAGGGAGGCCCGTTGACTCCACCGGCGACAGTCAGTCGGCCAGCGAGCCCTTATACTCTTGCACCTCCGATTGACTTTGATGGACTGAGCTGGCCTTGTGAGTGAAGCGACCATGGGAAACACGTGTCTGGTGCTGTATCTGACATTGTTTTCTCTACACAGGCCCCGGAACTAGGGAGCGACTTGAATCGACCCCAGAGGAGGTTGAAGAGCGGGTACAGAAGCTTGCAGGCGCTGTACGGACAATATTCGAGTGTGTTGGAGAAGACCCGGAAAGAGAAGGACTGCGGGAGACACCAGAGCGATACGCCAAAGCCATGATGTATTTCACCAAAGGCTACGAAGAGAATGTCAGGGATCTCGTCAATGGCGCCGTTTTCCACGAGGACCACGACGAACTCGTTATTGTCAAGGACATCGAGGTGTTTTCTTTGTGTGAGCACCACATGGTGCCGTTTACCGGAAAGGTACGAAAAGCTATATCCCTTTTCTCAGGGCGCCTCGGTTAATCAAGTATCTAATCACAGGTGCACATTGGATATATTCCGGACCGCCGTGTCCTCGGTCTTTCGAAGCTCGCTCGCCTTGCGGAGATGTTTTCGCGAAGACTTCAGGTGCAGGAGCGTCTTACCAAGCAGGTCGCCTTAGCCATCTCAGAGGTCTTGAAACCTCGAGGCGTAGGTGTCGTTATGGAGTCTTCCCACCTTTGCATGGTGATGCGTGGAGTGCAGAAGACGAGCAGCACCACCACGACAAGCTGTATGCTGGGATGCATGCGGTCGAGCGCAAAGACTCGTGAAGAGTTCTTGACGCTCCTGCATAGATAATGACGAAATTCGATGCCCCTTGTTTGTGCCATATATTTGCTATCCTCGTTTAACAGTGGATATCGTTGATGGTGTTAGATTTTCGGTTGCTTACCTTTCAACAGGTTAATGGGTTATGGCATGTTGCTTTCTCTTTTCTCTTTTTCATTTCTGGATGTTACTTCGACCATTTTCTTCTTTCTACACATATTTCTCACGCCTCATAAATTATGGGGGTACTCTCTGTGGTGCGTTGGGGCTGTTTTAACACTTTGGCTTGTTTCTTTCAACTCGAACCAATACTGTCCTACGTTACCTTGATGTCTATGCCTCTTTCACTCTTTCAAGTCATGTCCTTTGTTTGATATTCATGATAACAAATTGTGTATATCTGTTCCTCTGAGGAAGTTACTGAAAATATTATGTTTTTGGAAGAACTATTACTGGGGATCTGTTTCTTATGTTTGTTCTGTTTTCATGACAAACAACTGGTTTGACAAAGGGTTTCCTCACAGGTCCTAGCCCTAGTCATTCACTGCTTCAATCCTATCTATGAATCACACTCATAAAAAATAGTAGCTTCACATCCTTTCCTTCTTTAATCCTCACTTTCTGCCACCGCCTCTGAACAGTTAAAAAGGCCATCCAACTATAAATATCCGGTATGTCAGCCCTAAGCAGCTTCTCGACTCTCTCCTTTGAATCCTTGCTCTGCATCAAAATCAACGTGATACTAACGCTAGTAAATATGCCGCAGACAAGAAACGCTCGTGAGATCCTCGAGGCCTCTGAAATTTTGCTGCAAATGTGCGACCCCGACCGTAGCCAGCCCTCAGCGCAGTCAAACCAGCGGGTTCCTGCAGCTGGCTCCGAACGTAATGCTACTCGAGGAACAAACACTGCAGTGAACGATACCACTAGTGGTAATATACGGGCCAATACTCGAGCGCCTATCCAGATGACCACGATGCCCAATGCAAACCAACGTCGTGCTCGGCCAGCTGTGGTTGGACAGCAAGGTTCTCATAATCGAGTGCAATCAGCCCCTACGAATCGACTTCGAACTCAGCAACCAAGTAGTGGTCGGGCTATGCCTATACAGCCTCCTTCGAACCATGGCCAAGCAGCTCCTGCGTCGAATACGAATCAGAATGCGTTTAAGCCGGCTGCGCCCGAGCAGAGGCTTGTCCCCGTGAACGCAAACCAATCCTTGCAGGCGTACCTCATCCATCAACAGCGCATAGCTGGTATAGCGCCACAAGATATGATTACCATGCCAGACCAGCAGCAAAACACCAAGTCGCAGCCAGGTGCGCAGTCAGGAGGCCAGAGTAACACTCCTTCTTTGGTACAATTCTCACGCGAAGGCTCTGTTGTGTTTCCTCAAGTGGCTCCCGCGAGGTTTGATGGTGTTCTTCTGCCGCCTCCCTCGTCGACGGCTCGGACACCTCAATCTCTTAGATCTGGGACGACGAGTGATCCTGCCAATTACGCTACTGGAAGGGTAGTCCAGTCAATGAACGAAAACATCGGTGCGCAGGGCTATTTGGTTAGTCGCAATGGATGCAACGTTGGTACTTCTCATTCGCAAAGCTTTGCAACTAACAACCGTGCAAATGCGCATGTTGGGCAGTGTAATGAATCTATCGGCCAGCAGGACTACCCGCTGTCTTCAAATCAGCTGCCTCGGCTGCGGAATCTGAACACCACTTCTGCGAATAGACCCAGGGACCGGACTGCATCTCAGAGCACCAGAGTTCGCCGTCACTTCAGCCCACATTTGGACTTTCCTGGCGTGTTGACCTCATTCCCACAGCTGCTGACTAGGGTTATCGATTCGCTTGAAGTGGACGATTTCCTCAACCTGTATGCGGCTTCCAAACGCTTCTACTCCTACATGAAAGCGAACCCTGAAGCAACCATAATGCGCTTCGCGTTTAAACGCTTTGGCGACACTGCTCAAACTTTTTCTCATCCATGCTACCAGAAGCTCACCGTTTACAGTCGCGGCCCCAGACCTGAAAACATCCCCGGGCAAGTGTTGGAGATGCGCCCGTCGCCGAGATGGCTCAAGATGCTTGACTCCAGAGAAAAAGTTGTCAAGGACATCATGGACCTCTTCGACCAGAGTGGATACACCCTTACCTCTCGATGCGTGGGAGTGCTGAAGAAAATATGGTTCCTCATGGACATCCCCGACAACCGCCGTCGCACCTTCGCAGTTCAGAACAAATACCTCTGGTCGGACAATGAAGTTTTCTACGCAGTGTTTATCTTCGCTCAGATCGAATCGCGCTTCACCCATAACGTATCCGGAACCCCACGCTCAGGTTTCCGACGCCTCCTCCTGGGTCAGAAAAGCTTAACCCTGCTGCGCGACGCATTGAAAGGCACAGCCCTCCGCACGAACTACGAAGTCTTAAGGGAGTTTATCCGGTGGAAGTATATTCCCACACCTGACGAGGCTGACATGTTCCTTTTCGGTGTCCCCGCTGGCGAGCACGGTCTGCTTCAGCACGAGTACTACGGCCGTACTGCGAATCAAGAGAAACTCCAGCGACCTGACGATCTCTTGTTGAGAGAAATGGCCCGGCGTCAGTTGGATATGGGGTCTATGTATGCGTGGGTCTACGTGCAGAGTGAAATGGATCCATTGCTGAAGCGCGATTATCAGCTTGAGCCCGAGACTTCGTTTCTTCAGCTGATTCTTTATGAGGCGAAGAAGAACAGCGATGAGCCGTCGAACTGGTGGAAGGATGCGGTGGTCGATAACTCCTGTGGGGAGTCTGTCTGATTCTCTTCGTTTTGCTTGCTTTCTTGTGAGTTGCGCTGGGTTGGTTGAGTTCAAGAATATCTTCCCTATTGATATATTTATTCATCATGTACTTAGCAGGTTTAATGATAAATGGAAGACAATCTATAATCAATAGTAGGATGCAGATTTGGTGAAGTAAAGGACTGGTTTGTAGATTCTGGGCCACATCTGAGATATGTGGCTTGCTCGCTAACGTGGCGGTGCAGAACGTATCATCCTCCGCAGTTGTCAACCTCAGCCTGACACTGACCACACGACCACTCCTCTCACTGCCAGCAACGGCTTACAAGCCAAGGCTTCGTATCAAAATATGGCAAACACCGGGTCATTCTCACTTTTTAATCTATATAGATTCTCTCTATTCTGAGCCCTTCTCTGATTCGTTGGGGTGCATGGCCACGCCGAGCGCAGAGGATTCCGCCATAGCAATCTCCCATCGCCGCCCGTTCATTATCGATCAAGACACACATTCAAATCTCGCACGTACAATACCAATGGGCAACGGTAATATGGTCCGGGATGAAGGGCCTATCAGGGGCGCTGACCTCTGTTCTGTTTCTGGACTTGAACCCTCCTGAGCGGAAATTATCTCATGAGCGACCGAGGAGATACGGGGCTACAGCTTAGCTCTACTCGCTTACGGGCTTGTGATATCACGATAGCCAATTTCCGGGGACTTCTATGATAGTTGCTGATTATCCGAAGCTCGTGGTATTTTTCCTCTGTCAGGTACGCACCCAGCGTTTCGGTCGGTCCCTACTTTTGGGACCAATTCAGGGTAAGTAAACTCCGGCAAACTTGTCGGATCACAGGCAAGAATAGAACTTGTGAGCGTATGAACTTCACAGGTGCTACCTGGTCTCGCCGCAAGCTACTCCCAACACCCTAGAGGATTATTGGCGCTTGGATTATACCCAGGATTGTGATTATCTGCCGTAAACCATTGGTTGGACTTCGATTACTTTGTTTTTGCAAGATCGCGTTGCGTCTACTGTTGGCTGGAGATGCCTCAGCGGGCCACATCCAGCATACCACTGGGTGCCCTACTCTTACTCTGAGTACAATCTAAGCGGCTGGCAAAACGGACTGTCAAATCCTGGTCTTGGATGATTACAGGCCGCTCACTGCTCCGACTTGCTGCGCTGCAGCTCCATGGTTGTCGATGGGAATGACCGAGTCCGGAGATACTCCGCAAACTGTCCTATCGACACCAGGACGGTTCTCTGGCGGATTGGTCTTCTTTTACTTGCCGCCCAGTGTGCTCGATTTTTGCCATTTTGCACTATGTAGATAGACCTATGTTCTCAGGCGAAAGGATAATCTGACCGACAACGAGCGGCATGAAAAAACCACGTCTTACGCCAGAAGTGGGCAGCGAAGGGCAAGAAGAAAGAAAGGAAAAGAGAAAAGAAAGCGAGGATAATGCCTTTTCAAGGGGAAAAAAAACTCACAAAAGACTCATGGTCATTATGAACCGGGCTTGAGCAGCAGTTTTCTGGCTGGCCCAAAGCCGAAAGCCCGATATGATGGGAGCAAGACAAGGAGCCACCAAAAAGCTGACCACTGCAGCCTGGGCTTTTCCAAAATACATTCAAGGAAACTGTCATGATCGAGTGGCGCTCTGTCAAACTGCCTGTCGCCTTCATTCGTAGTAGAATCGCGAGGCAGCAAAAACACGCGGCTCTCGGGAGGCAATCTTTATCGCATACTGTCACGGAATTAAGCCACCCTCGTAGACACCACGACTTCACTGTTCAAGGTTCGTGCATAAACATTTATACAAAGATCGAGGTGCGTCATTCCCCTTCCCTTCTAGTAACATTCTCTCTTTATAGAATATTCTAACATTCCCTTACTCCCTCGACAGGCTAATCTGCCCGGAAAAACCACGCTTCCGCACGCCCCAAAATCCTCCCCCGAAAAACCAACGAACGACCTCACAGGACGGCGCACCGACGCTGAACTAGGCGAAACGACCTGGCTCCACCCGGAATCTCCTGCGCTTTCATCTACAGGCTAATCTAATTACTTTCGTCGCCCCCCCAGTTGTCCAGTCGGCTACCAGTCCTACTGGTTCTCCGTGTTCCTTTTTCCGGTCTTCTTTCTTAAACCCGATGCAGGTGCAGACGATTACATGGCTGGGTCCCGTAGGAGTCCGGTGTTGAGAGACGAGTGGAGCGCCGCCAACAACGCCAGTGATCACGACAGACAAAGGCCTCGAGATTCTCGTCCTTACAATCGTGATAGAGGCAAGGACAAACATCGGGAGCGAGACCGTCCTCCCTGGCCCAAATACGGCGGATCAGATCGTTCGTTACGGTCGCCGCCACCCTCGCGTGCTTTTGCCCATCCCGGCCGCGAAGGACCTCACAAACCTCGCGATTTGCCTATAGATACACCGAGCGCTCGTTCCCCTGGTCCGTCAGAAAGTGGAAGGAACACAAGTTTCCGTCGTTTCTCGCAATCTTCAGCAGATCATCTGGATTACCGTCCGTGGGCAGCCGAGAAGGAGCTTCGAACAGACGACTCCCCATCGGCACCACCGCCGTCAAAACGCAAAAGGACACGGAGTCCATCGCCTCATCGCCCCCAGCACCGTCCTCCTCATCCTCCGCGCCATCCTCGTCACCATCGCAAACACGGCGAGGGTTTTGACCGAGGCTCTTTCCCCCCGAAACGTGGACGTTTCCCAGGTCGCGGTAGAGGCGGTCGAGGGCCACCCAGACGAGGGAGAGACCGACATCGGAACGATTTTGGGCGCGTGGGCTCTCCAGGGAGAGATTCATTATCTCCCGGCCGTGGAAGAGACTCTTTTTCACCACCACCTCGTAGGTGGTCACGCAGCCCCCATCTGGAGGACGATTTTGAAAGAAATTTCCGTCATCGATCTGCCTCCCGTCATTCAACGCGATCTGTGAATTCTAGGGTTTCGACGCTTTCTCATCGGGATTCTAGAGGTGACCCGGAAATGAATTCGACAAGGCCAATGCGGTCTGTCGTTGATTCCGCCAGATCGCCATCCCCTTCCCGGTCAGGTTTTGACGCGGACAACGCCAGTGTTTCTGGTGATGGCGATGCCCCACGCTCGCGAAGTTTCAATCCACATGTTGACAACAGACACTTTGAAACATCACCACAATACAGAACATCAAATTCCCCTAGGCCTACGTCTCCGTATTCGTCGGGACGGGGCCCATGGGGTGGACAACCTCCGTATAATGGGCAGCAGAGGTGAGTCGGTCATTAGAAAGAACAATTTCCTTCTCTATTTTGGGCTGGGCTAATCAGGCATGGTATACTATAGGCGCTCTCCTCCATCTCGACAGAATAGCTATCCTCCTCCCCCAACTGGTCCGCGGAATCAGCAAATATCCTACAGCAGACCCCCGAGCCAATCACCATATCATGGTGGGCATTCTGGATACCGCGGTGGTTATCAGAATCAGGGCCGTCACTTTTCTGGATCTACTGGTGGGCCTTCTCCCCGTGGTCGGGTCCAATTTGACGACCTCCAGTGGGCTCCAACGCATCCCCGAAGTTGGAACGGTCCTCATAGTCCGCACACGGCGTCGGGTCAACCGTCACAAAGTCCTCCACCACCCCCGCCAGATGATCGAAACTCTCCCCGTTTCAAAGAGGGTGGCCATCCTTTCCGACCAGTGAGCAGAGATCATCCACTAGAAGGTGAAGGACCAAAACCCATTTCAGAACAGAATGATGCCCAAAGAATGCCACCACCTGGACCACATCCCACCAATGCACCTACCGGTCCGAGCAAGGGAGGTAAAATCAGCTTTGCTTTCAAAGCAAAACCTACGCCAGCTCCTGTCCCCAAGCCAGTTCCCGATCTCGCCCAGAGAATGCAGCCTCGGGAGCCTCCACCACGGGTTGCTGAACCTCCGCCGCCTCGTAGGATGATGTCTGGACCACCGCCCAGGTTCAAGCCTGATCCACGATTTGATCGTCGTGGAGGGCGTGACCGAGATCGGGACCGTGATCGTGATCGCGACAGGGGTAGACATGACCGACGTGATTTCCGAGAGACCCGCGGAGGATTTCGTGAACCCAGGGGTGGCCGACGAGGAGATGATCGTCGGTTCGATCGTTTTGACAGAAGACGAGGAGACAAACGGCCAGACTTTCGTATTGGGCGCCGCCGGACACGCTCCCCTGATCGAGATCGAGGTTGGGGACCCGAGCCAGAACCAAGATTCGAGCAGGAGCCAGAGCCAGAGCCAGAGCTGGAGCCGGAGCCGGAGCCGGAGCCAAAGAAGCAAGTCAAGATCATGACCCGACCGAAGCCACGCCCTACCTTGCCCGAAGAGTTTACCCAATCCGACTCTGTATATCATCGAAAACCTGGGAATGAATCAGTCATTGGTGCGGGCACCTACGGAAAGGTTTTCAAAGCTATCCACATATATACTCAGCAGGGAGTGGCATTGAAGAAGATTCGGATGGAAGGCGAAAAAGATGGATTCCCCGTCACGGCTGTGCGCGAGATCAAGCTGCTTCAACATCTCCGAAGCCACAATGTGGTCAGCTTGCTTGAAGTCATGGTTGAACGCAACGAGTGCTTTATGGTATTCGAATATCTCGCTCACGATCTCACTGGTCTTATTAACCATCCAACTTTTACGCTCACCGCTGCCCACAAGAAGGATTTGGCCAAGCAAATGTTCGAAGGTCTCAATTACCTCCACCATCGCGGTGTTCTCCATCGTGACATCAAAGCTGCGAACATCCTCATCAGCAACACGGGCTTGTTGAAATACGCAGACTTTGGTCTTGCCCGGTTCTTTTCCAAGAGCCGCCAACTTGATTACACAAACCGTGTGATTACGATCTGGTATCGACCACCCGAACTTTTACTGGGAGAAACCCGCTACGGACCGGCGGTAGACGTCTGGAGTGCGGCCTGTGTGTATGTCGAGATGTTCACGAAGAAGGCCGTTTTCCCTGGTGAGGGAGGTGAAATCAGCCAACTCGACAAGCTCTACAACGCTCTTGGTACGCCGACCCGCGCGGAATGGTCTGATATTGTGGAGATGCCTTGGTTTGAATTGATGCGACCTGCAGAGCGCAAGAAGAGGATTTTTGAGGAACAATATGGCACCGTTCTCAGCCCTGCCGCTCTGGACTTGGTGTCCAATATCTTCCAGTATGATCCAGCGAAACGGCCCACTGCTGAGGAAGTATTGGCACATCCTTACTTTGTGTCTGAGGAACCGAAGCCTCAGCAAGCATTTGAGTATGTTTTCCTTTCCTTGTCTATTTATACTTTAGTCTTCTTACTGACTACTTCCTCAGGCTGGAGAAAATCGAAGGCGACTGGCACGAATTCGAATCCAAGGCCCTACGCAAGGAGAGGGATCGGGAAGCTCGTCGCGCAGCGGAATACCAGAAGGAGAAACGAAAAGCAGTCTCGTCGGTGCCTCAGAGTGAGAGGGACCCGAAGCGTGTCAAGCCGGACTCTGGTGGAGAGTATCCACCAGCACCGGCCGGTGTTTAATCATTTTGTCTTCATTTTTTTTTTTTTTTTTTTTTTCCCCTTTCAATTTTTGACGAGATACCAGGGTGGTTGATATTGCTAGATATGTTTATTTATTTGGAATGGAACGTCAATGTTATAAGAATACATTTATGGTCGCAACATTTAGAAAAGGATCCTGAATGGTATAATCAAAACATACAAGAATCTATCTTCCCCTGTGACGATCAGCAATTGCGACCACATACTGGTTTCATAAATTGAAATTCAAGGGAAATGCCATCAGACTTTGCCTTTAGGACCTCACGCTCAACCAGCAACACAGCACAGAGGCTGAAGTGTAGTCGTAGCGGTTGAGCATCTCGGATTACCAGAGTACGATTGGTTCTTCATAGGCGATACATTGTGTGTTTTGGTGTCGGGAAGGGAGCATGAAACAGTACGCACCCGTTGTTACTTTGATCAAAGGACAGATATCACATAGACAAGTTATATTCATATTAGTCGAATCTAATTGTGTCGTCTCATCAACAGTTATACAGGAGTCAAAAAAGGAATGTCCCGTCTTTCAGGTCATCACCGCATCATGGAAGCCAGAAGCCCTCGTGATGATGGTTTTAGAAGTGGTATTTTATTCTCGACACACACATCGGAATCGCCAGAGCAGTGGAAGCAGTAAAGTGCGCATCCAGCGATGATTTGAGTCGGTGGTCTTGGTTGAAAAGAAGAAGGAAAGGAAAAAGAGAAGTCGAGGAAAATATATAAAAAAGCGTTGTCGGAAGCGGAAAAACTCGGCGAGCGTAGGCGGCGGTGGGGCTGAACGGTGATTGGGTCAAGCTCCGGATCTCCAATTCTTCTCTTCTTCATCTTTTTCGATCCCCTCTCACTTCACTGTCTCTTCCACTACTATTACTTTCACTGTTTCCCCCCCTCTTCCTCATTTACTCATCGCTAGCATCAAGATTTACAAGATCTATTCAGTAATCTCTACTTCCACCGTCACGATCACGAGTTTCTTATTTCATTGCATCGCCCACTTTCTGTGTCGCCATCTTACGATCTCTTAGTTGCATCCGGTCTTTTACTTTTTAACCACTTTTTTTTGAACCTTACTTTTTTATTCGAGTGTTCTATTATTGCGCCTGTCAGTCGTCAGTGGTGTCTCGGTCTCTCACGGTTGTTCCGGTTCTCCCTGATGACCGCTCCTTTTTTGGGCTGTCTCAGAATCTGTCTCGATGGATAACGCCAATCTGTGGACGCGCCGGACCAAGTAAGTCGCACTGCCAGACTTGCACCTCTCCAATGAAATGAGAAAGGGGAAACTAATCATTCCGGTGATTTGTCCAGCTCCGCCAAGTTGTCGCTGTCCATGACGGGCCCCGACGGCAAGGATGGTGGTGCCAACCTTCCCCGCAGTCACACTTCGAAGCGTTTTGGTCCCGATAGCTCCCATGGCCGTTCGAATCCCTTCAACGCAATATCCCCTCTATCCGGTGGCGTCGCATCCCCCTCCACGAATGCCTCGTCCGCGTTTGGCTTAGGTTCCGGCGCTTTCGCCTCGTTCGGTGCTCCCAAGACTCCCGGCGCTTCCTCCGACACCGGCTCCTCGAAGGCTCCCGGCGACAAACGAGACATCAACACCACTGAACAGGCTGTGGCAGAGAGCCAGAGGGCCAGGGGTTTTGGTGCCGGCGCCAAAGGGCATCCCTTGAAGTCGACTTGGGTGATCTGGTATCGCCCCCCTACACCGAAATACTCCGACTACGAAAAATCCACCATCCCCCTCGCATCTATCTCGTCCGTGGAAAGCTTTTGGTCGGTATACGCCCACCTCAAGCGACCCTCTCTTCTCCCTACCGTCTCCGACTACCACATCTTCAAGAAAGGCATTCGTCCAGTATGGGAGGACGATGCAAATAAGAAAGGCGGCAAGTGGATTGTACGGTTGAAGAAGGGTGTGGCTGATCGGTACTGGGAGGATCTCTTATTGGCTATCGTTGGCGACCAGTTTGCAGAGGCAGCCGACGAGGTTTGCGGTGCCGTTCTCAGTGTGCGGAGCGGCGAGGATGTTCTGAGTGTCTGGACCAGGATTGACGGAGGGCGGAACATTAAGATTAGGTATGACTTTTCTTCCTATGTTGCTTCTTTTCCCTCATACTGATCTTCTTAGGGAAACGATCAAACGTTTGCTTGCCTTCCCGGCCGACACCAATATCATATGGAAGAGCCATGACGATAGCATTGCTCAACGCTCAGCGATTGACCAGGCTCGCCAAGAGAAAGCCAACCATCATCACCAGCATCACCACAACAACCACCATCAACACCTTGGAGCCGATCGACGGAGAACGACAGCCAATGACGAATCTACTGGGGATAAATGAAAAGGGACGGCGTCGTGATATGCTTTATCTGAGCCTGGATTAGGGCCCTGTACAGTAAATGGGAAACGCAATAAAAGAAGAAAAAAAAAAAAAAAAAAAAGCCAAAAATGCTATTGGGATGCGTTTAGGACCGGGGTACTGGGCGAATTCTACATCTGATTTCTGACATCTATCACTATCATTAGATTCATGCTTGGTGCTGCAAGACGAGAGGACTTGATGCGTAGTGAAATGCATGCCATTCGACATGTTCAGTCATGTTTCCTATCATACTCCTACTCTCCATTCTCCCCTCTGTATCTGTTTGCCCCCGTCGTACCAAAAAAAAAAAAAAAAAAAAAAAAAAACGCGGAGTAGGCAGAAAACGACCGCCCTCGCAACCAATTGCGATAATCCAATAATCCAAGAAAACCGATCCGCTTCTCCTCCGTCTCCAACTATAAGACAGACAGAATATCCTGGCCATATCCCGGTCATGTAATGATCCCCAGGGTAGACACATGCTGCCGTTTGGAGGATTGTCACATTTGCAACCCGCCCGGTCTCGCGAACAACGCCCCCGATCCTAATCCTCCACGGAGCGCCGACGATTCCCATCTCCTCTACGACCCTCTCATGCTATCTCCGATCAGACTGCACAGACTCAGGCGTCCGGTATGAGGGATGTCGCTTTGTCTATAAGGTTTTACTTTTCTGGTACATCTATGGATTATAGCGAGGATCATTCCCAGCTTGCAGATGTGGGTATTCTTATTCTTTTTTTTTTTTTTTTTTTTTTTTTTTTTTTAATTTTGTTTTTATATATCTTCTTCTTTGCTGGGGCTATGCTCCGTCTGGAACTTTTATATTCTTCTTCCTTTTGGGGTCTACGTGGAAGCTGACATTTATCTGCGCTTATCCTAATAGACCGACCTTAGTTATGCCGCCGACAGACTCCGACGATCTACGCAAAAACCACGAGCTGTACGTTCCTTACTGAGCAAGACCATTCCCCGTCCAGTGGTAGGGATGAGTCGCCTGTAAATATATCCTTGCGTCACGGATTCAGAATCGGGGTTGTGCGGTGCTAATATACTGGGTGCTTAGGACGGGGCAGCAAAGGTTGATGAGACACGAGTTTACTTCGGATGACGAGAAGCGGCTCTTCCCATCCTATGTGTACGTTCTAGCGATAACTTGGTAGCAAATCGGGAGGATTTCGGTTCTAATCTGTCTTCAGAAAAAAGAACGGTGGCGTGCCAATTGTACCGGGGCAGACTGTTGCTGTTGCTGCGACGAAGAAGACGAAACCGGGACAGGTATGTCGCTATTAGGGCATTATATCATCCTTCTTTTCCCTGTTGCTCGGTCTAACAGTTGCGCCATAGCAATTCTCGAACAAACCTGTCGACCGGATATCGCAAAACTCGAAGCAAAGCGGGCCATTTCGTGCGCGGGGAAAGAAGTCGAATACTCCGAAAGAATTGCTTACAGCAATTGACGACGCATCACGAACCGGACACGCTCCAAACTTCGAAGCCTCCGACAGACCTGCTAAACGTCAACGTCGCAATTCCCAACCAGCGCCTAGTAATGTTTATAGCTTCTCGGATAATGACGACGTGATGGAGCAAATCGCACCAATTTCAAGCACACCTCCAGTGCTCGAACTTTCGTCGCATACGTCTCCATCAAGGAAGCATACGGGAAACCGGGCATGGGAGCCTAATGAAGATACGATTCCAGAGTCTGTCCCATCCGATAGTGACCATGATGAGCTTTTTACGGAAAATGCGGCCAAAGAAAGACTTTCTTCTGCGTCGGATATTATCGCATCCCATTCCAAGGGTCTGAATCAAGCTCCCCGGCCGGGAATTTTACAAAGCGTTGAGGTTGAAGGACCGAAAGTTGCTCCGAAACTGAAAGCGATCACAAGTCCCTCCGTCTCGAATAGAAGGCGAAGCACCTCCGGCAGCTCGGATGAGTTACAGGGTGCGGTAACCGTTCCGCCAGTGCCATCTACTTTGCCGCTTCGTAAGGAAGACGTCAGCAGCGCGTTGAGGTCTTCGCCCTCCGATATTCGCTCAACAACTTTCTCGCCCAGTGCTTCGAAAAATAAAAAGGGTCGCAAAAAGAGGAGAAGGGTGTCAAACGAACAGATCCATCAGTTGATTGAACCCTATCGGTCATTCGAAGCGTCTCAAGTTCAATTTGGCACGGTCCAGCTACGCCCATCAAGCGAAAAGGCTGTTGAAGTAAATCTTGACACTAATCGTTTGTGGGTTGTTGGGAATACACCTGATTCGTCATTACAGCAAGAAATCTCCCTACGGCAGATTATGCAAGTCATTTACGGAGAAGACACGAGTTGTAAAATTCGTTTAGGGCTGTCGAAAACGGAAGGGCAGTGTAATCAAATGGATATTGAACTAATAACACCAGAAGTAAAAGACGAGCTATTTCACTTGTTGCAGATTCTTCCTATCAAACTCAAATACAAGCCAAGGTACGCTCTCCCACGCCCTCTGTTTAGACATCTCAACCAATGCTTACATGTGGCTAGTGAATGGATGGATCGCACTTTCAAGAACACCGAAAGGGAATTCATCTGTTTTTCCAATAGGTTGAAGCGTCCTAGCATTGATAGCGTCTCCGAGCCGGTTCCTGAACCAGAGACAGAGACGCCCAAGCGCCCTAAGATCTCTGAGTCGCTCCAAGTCGACGATAGAACTACTGTACCTTCCAATGATACCGATGATCACCCTAGCAAGTCTGCAGATGTTCCTACCAATGAACGTAACGAGTCCGATGATACCGCTCACGCTCATCCTACAAGAGTGAGTACGAGTAACTCGGTTGAAATTCCCGTGATGAAATATTCGCCTCCAGTTCCTCCAAACAATCGGCAGACAAGATCAACAACGCACCGCGCAGACCCAGAACCAGCCACAGTCATATGTGACGACGATGACGGCAATGGAAACGACTCTGCGCCACAGCCACCTGCTAGAACATTCGCGAAATGGGAAAAGCCGCTTTTGTACCCGCGCTTTGGCAAGAAGAAGGCTGAAGTGGATGCCCAGGATCGTGAGCGCCTTCGTTCCGATGAATTCCTGAACGACAACCTCATAGGGTTCTATATGCGCTTCCTGGAAGACCATCTGGAACGGACCAACAAAGACGCTGCGAAACGGGTTTACTTTTTCAATTCTTACTTCTACGCGACACTCACGAATAATCCCAAGAACAGGAGGGTTGTCAACTATGAGAGCGTCCAGAAGTGGACCCGAAGCGTGGATATCTTCAGCTATGACTACATTGTCGTTCCTATTAATGAGTCTGCGCATTGGTATGTTGCTGTTATATGCAACTTGCCCAACCTGCAGAGGATTTTGAAAAAAAGTTCGGAGGCCGACAAGCCACCTTCCAATGATAGTCAAGAACCTGCCTCTCAGCCTGAAGGTGAGGTTCAGGCGGTTCCTGACACGCCAGTTTCTAGTCAAGAAGTTGCGCAAGGACAATGGGGGTTAGAAGAACAAAAAGCGAATCCTGAGCCTGCCAAGGAAGAAACGGCACGGCAATCAATGGCCGCAATGACACTGCATGACAAGACGGAAACCAACGACAGGGGCGCGCAGGAGATTCCTGCTTCTGATGAAGATTGGCCTGAGAAAGCGGAGAACCCGAATACTTCTCCCGTGAAGTTTACCAGCCCCCCCAAAACACGGAGCGGTGCTCAACAAACTTCAGAGGACGCACCTAAACCCACAGCGCCATCCCAGAAGTCAAAAAAGTCGAAGAAGAAGTCGCGCGGACCCCGTAATGCGCGAGATGCCCGGGATCCCCTGGATCCAGTAATCATCACCTTCGACTCGTTAAACTTGGCCCGGTCGCCTACCATCAGAAATCTGCGTCAATATTTGTCCGAAGAAGCCCAGTCCAAGAAGGGAATCGATGTCGATACCACGTTGGTTGGTGGCCTGCGAGCTCGCTCGATCCCGTTACAGTCCAATTATTCGGATTGTGGATTATATCTGTTGGCGTATGTGGAGAAGTTCGTTCAAGATCCGGATGGGTTCGTGTCGAAGTTGCTTCGAGGAGAGATGGATGAGCGCACGGACTGGCCGCCTTTGTCATCTGGTGCTCTACGCCAGCGTTTGCGCAGGTTCCTCGATGACCTTTACGATGAACAAGAGCAGCTTAGTCGTGGGGAGTTGGGCGAGAAACGCGTGATGGCGGATATGCGGCCGATTTCCTTCCTGCTTGGAGAGGGGAAACCAGAGCCTGCGAAGGAAGGAGGGAAACCGGATACGGACGCGCCACAGACCAAACCCTCACCAGCGCCGGAAAAGGCCTCGCCGCCGCCAGAGAAAGCCTCGTCATATCCAGAAAAGGCTTCGTCACAGCCGGAAAAGACGACTGAACCCTTCCCATTATTTCTACCTCCCGCAGAACCTGAGAACCCTCCAGAAGAGGCTCCCGAGACCAAGGCCTCAGCTACAGGTCCGTTCCAACCTCTATCTCTATCGTTCTCCCCGGGAACTCCTACGCGCACCGGGAAACACAAAGGGGCCCATCCGTCAAAAGCCGTGCGATCTATACATACGGAACAAAGAGCTGATGGAGACATAGTCGAGGTTCCCAACAGTCAGGAGCCAGAACCTGGGGTCTTGGATCTCACGTCGCCGCAGAAGAAAACCGGTATCCAGCCTCCGGTAGCCGAACCGGAGAAGAAAGATGACAACGCTGTTACCGTCGATGACGATAATGTCGCCGTGAAAGCGAACCCTCCTGCTCCTTCAAACGATGGAAAGAAAGAGAAAGAGGTTGAGGTGCAAATTAGTGGAACGCCCCCGCCGTCGCTTCCAAAAGAGACGAAGTCTGCTAAAAAGAAACGCAGGAAGCTAGTGGTGGAGTTGGGAGGATTGTAGATAATGTCCTTGTCCTTTTAAACCTTTGTTAATTTGCTTGCTACACAGAAGGCCCGGGTAGTGGCATTGGGTTCTGGCGTTTCAAGAGAGGGTTGAGCATAAGATACCAATTGCATTTTACTTTCAGTTGACTCGTGTTTTTATTTTATATTCTAGTACCCAGATGCAATCATTTATTTTATGTATATCACCCCAATCCCAAATGCAATATAGACAACCCATGAAACCCCAAACTGAACCCCAACCACCATCACCACTCACTCTCATCAGCCCCAACCCACCACGCCATTTTATCCCTCTTAAACGTCTCAAAATCCCACTCCGCATCCTCCAACCTCCCCTCCCCAGCAGCATACACATAAGTCACCGCCCCAACATCCTCCTCCCCCTCATCCGCAAACTCCGCCCCCGCCGCATCGAACACATCCCTCAAATGCCCATCCGGATTTGTCTCCTCATCCCCCTGCTCCTGGCTCAGCGATTCCCGCAACGTCCGCACCTTAACCGGCTCGCGCGTGTACTCAGACCCCTCGAAGATATCAAGGCGGTGGATGTCGCCGTCCGTTAGGCCCGAGACCAGCGTTCCGAGGACAGATGCTTTGCGCGTCGACTCTGTTAACTCTTGTCCTTCTTCTTGTTCTTGTTCCTGCGATTGCGATTCTGTTGCGGGGATGATACCGGGGTAATCGGTCCCGCGCACGCGGTGACGGCGGTAGCCGTGGAGGATGGATGGTTGGAAGGTGAGGAGGTTCTTTTGCCAGGGTTCTGGGTCTGGACGGCCGTGGATTACGCGGTGGAGGATTTGGGGGGCCATTAAGGTTCCTTTTTGGGCTTGTTAGTGGTGTTCGATTGTTGATGGTTGGTGACGTGGGGTTGGTGTATGTTCTGGGTAGAACTGTGTTATGCTTACCGTAGAAAAAGACGACGTGGTCTCCCATTTTGAAGCAATTGAGGAGCTGTGTTTGATTAAAGTATGGAGTAAAAGAGTGTAGTTGACAGGTTGGTTTCTTGAGCTGCTGATGAGGGGTCGAGCCGTCTTTTGATATCCGAATGAAACAAGCAACCTCAACCCAGATAATAGATCACCACCTTCGTTTCGAACACGAAATGAAATGACAAATCTCTCAATTAAACAGCTCTGGAGCTATCTAAAATAATCCCACTACATAAAAGAAGCAAAGAACATCTCACGAGGACATGGATCGCCCTGGCTCATCTCGATGTACAGACCAAGATCGCCGTATCGGGCAATCCTTATCGATAAGAGATAACTCACCAGCCACGCTTCCCCAAAACTGTGGCTTGTGCATATCTGTACACTTTCAATCGTCAGTCCAGTCAGCCTCGCCGGCATTGCCTCGTAACTCAACAGAAGGGGGCCTTTTCAATTTTTCCCCGGCCGTTTCTTTTCCCTTTCTTTTGTTGTATCCCTCTTGTCGATTACATTGAATAGACAAATATGCACTCCTCACTGAACCGCGCGCAAGGCGTCTTCGGCTTCTTCACTACTGTGGCCTTATTCGTCGCTGGAATTGCTGCTCTCAGTGTTCTATTCTTTCCTGCTGATAATGTGACGTCGGAGGTTGAGGTCAAGAATGTTCAGGTGTATGTTTCCCTTTTCTTCCGGGTTTTTCGACATGCGACACAGTATGCTGATGAATGCGATGCAGAATCAAAGGACGTCCGCATTACTACTCGAGCAAGAAGGAAGAGTATGCGCAGATGCGGTTTGATTTGGATGCTGGTACGCCTTCTCCACTTTTTTTCTTAATGGTCTCAGGGAACATTGTCTAATCATGGGCTCAGATCTCACCCCCCTCTTCAACTGGAACACAAAACAACTCTTCGTCTACGTCTACGCCTCCTACTCCTCCTCCGAGAAGCCCTCCTCATCCCTAAACCCGCTCTCTGAGTCCATTATCTGGGATACCATCATCGAAGCCCCCGAATCTCCCTACTCGTTTAACGCGCTGCGCGAGCGATTCTTCCCTTCCTCGTCTACGACTAAGCGCAAGAGCTCGGGTCTGAGCAAGAACAAGAATAAGAAGAAGGATTCTGCGGAGCTGGGTGTGCTGCGGCTGCGCGGGCAGAAGTCCAAGTACCAGATTGGGGATATCACGGGCAAGTTGGCAGAGAGGGAGGGTGTGACGCTTTCTGTGGGGTGGAATGTGCAGCCTTGGGTTGGGGCGTTGTGGTGGAGTCCGCGGTCTGGGTCTGTTCCCCAGACTGGGGGTGCGGCAGGTGTTAGCAAGCCGTTTGATTTCCCGCAGGTGAAGGGGAGTAATAGGGCTAGTACGGCTGCGGCGCAAGGGCAGGCTCAGAAATCGGCGGTTTAGAATTGAGAGATATGCTAGTTGATGAATTAACGGAGTTTTGGGTCTAAGGATATCCACGCTGCTATGCCAATGCCATAAAAATAAGGAAAAGTCGAACAGGACGAGTATGCGAATAAAGAAGAATAACCAAGCGCAACCAAAAGCATCGAACTCATGCCCAACAGTTATCCATGTCTATCACTACCACGCGCTCGCGGTATATAATCCAAAGTCACACCGTGCCGTAGCTCCTGTGCGCTTGACGATGGCGTCCACCATGTTGGATACGGCTCGAATACACACCAGGCGCATCTCTCCGGGGTGCAGCAGCTGGATCCACGTTGCGGCGGCTATAATAGACGTGCTCGAGATGTAAGGCGTGGATGAGACCAGGTAGGTAGCTAGAATTGGTGAATCGGTTATTCCTGTGTCTCCGAAGGGATGCAGGGATAACGGATACTGACCCCAAAATCGTGAGGAGGATATTGACACACAGATCGACGTTGCACCCGGAGATCAAAAGGATACCAAGAGGAGGTACTAGACTGGTTAGCATAGGCGGTTCAACAATGGATTGCAATTATTCGAGGAGTTTTGCAGGGAGATCCCCAGCACGATAGCAAACATACCAAACAGGGTCACAAGAATCACCAAAAACATAGAAAATGTCCCCGCCATGTTGCTTCTAAAGATCGATTCAGGATATAGGAATAATCGGCACCCCCTTTCCACGTATCTTAATTCAAGATCGCTCGCTGACTGCTGCCTTCGGAGAGCGTTTACCACTGGAATCGAGGAATGTACCAAGGAAACTGAAAACAAGGATAGTGGAGAGGAGGATGTAGATGAGGATGACGGGGTTGTCGTCCTTGGAAGCGTTAAGGTTCTTCATTGTGGTGTAACTAACTCGTCCCTTCCCTTTCTTTTCGCTAGTTTGGTAGGAAGTAAGAATAAATTATGGAAGGTAAGTCTGACATTGTTCGTCCGAAAGGGGAAAAGCGCGCGCCGGATTCCGCCGGATCAGCGGTGTTGCCGGATGCGGTATAGCATTACACATCACGTGCAGTATTTGAACAAGACATATTGTTTGAGAGGCGTTCAACATCATAGAAGCATATGATATAATCAATCCTATCATACAGCGTCAATCGTTGCCCTGTTCGTGACCTGCTCGTTCTTGTTGCCGAGCTTTGATATCTGGAGAAATGCATCCACACCATAGCCTTCCAAGCTATGTAGTTCAAGACTACCTGCCCAGTATTCGGCGTAGACCCTGCTCATAGGTAATCCCATACCAAGACGTAGATTCGGAGGCCGTGAAGTCAGAGAATCCAATGAGCCTTCACGGAATGTTTCCTTATCAGCGTGCTTCCGTTCCTTGGATACCGTCAGTTCTTGCATTGTGGCTGCCATCGCAGGAACCCGTTTAAGATTCTCGAGATGCGCTCTGCTCTGTGGCCCCTTGTCAAAAGACCATAGATACGGGAGAACACCGCGAGGTATGCCTCCGCCTTGGTCCGATATCCGCATGATGACGTGCTGTGGCGCTTCGCAGATAAGGACTTGGATAGGTGGTGGTTTCTCCCAAGAATCTTTGTATTTTTCGCTGACGGCTTGGATTGAATTGCGCAGAAGTTCGCCGATGATATATTCCAGATGACTCAGGATGTAAGGAAATGTGGCATTTAGGTGGCCTTGTACGCAGATATCTGGGATCTTATCCGATCCAGAGCTCTGTCGCATCATGTCTTGCGCTAGCTTTCCGCACCGTTCAATCACCTCTTTTGCGTTGCATTTTAGGAAGACTTCGCCCACAAAGTCTGCGTTCATATCCGTGCGGTCTTGGGAGCCAGGGAAGTGCCATGGAGAGTTGAACGTTTCCGTTAGTGCTAGGTGCTGCTCTGCAATAACGCGGCGAGAGATTCTCTATTGAGACCATTATTAGCCGTGATATCGAAGAACAACAGAGGAGTACGTACCGCTCGTAAAAGCGTGTTCATGAATTCATCGATAACCTCCGGAGGTAGAAGACCTCGACATTCTAGAACACCCATTGCCAGCTTTGGAATTGCGACAAGGTGCTCTTTGAGGGTCGTGCGGAGTATGTCGCAGAATCCGTCATTGTCTTCCAACGTCCTGATCTCCGGTATGGCTCGAAATCTCTCGAATGCTTTGTAGTATAATTCGTATACGAGGGAGAGGTGCGGATTCGATACGACCACGTACGGCAATTGTTGAATATCTCGCAGACGGTGCGCAATCCTGTGAGAGAAAAAGTTAGGCGAGCCAGCTCGATAGGACGAGGACACATTCACCTACCTAGTTGGCAGTTCCGTCCGAACATAGTTTCCGGAACTGATCAATCGTGGCTCTGTCAGGGTCCGGCCAAAGAACGTCAACTGTCGAAGACTGATGGGCCGGGTTTCTCGCTCCACCCATCTGATGCAGTATTAGCATGGTGCCATTGCGGATTGACGTATCCGTATGAACCACATACTCATCCAAGGCAGAAACAGGCCTCCATGGTGGTAATCCATGTGTAACACTGGAATAGGAGCGTGCAATATCAGAAGCCCATCTGCGTGGAAAAGCATGCCAGCAGCGGGTTGGATGACTCAGGTGCATACTGGTTCGCCATGCACTCAATTCGTCCAGAAGGGGTTTTGATTTCAACCGGGAAGCCGGTCAGGATCGTACATGGCTATCCCGGAGACTCGTTTTCCAGCTGACCATTGAGATTCTGCTGTGGGAAGCTGTTGTGATTTGAGGACAGAGGGGAGACCGCGGCGAGAGCTCACCGGGCGGTGAACAATGTCAGAACGAGCGCTAACATGTGACATGCATCATGATTACCGTGGAGAGAAGGAACCTTGATTGGGATCAGCCCAATTCGTGTCTAAGCGAAAGGAAATCGGAGAGATGGAAGTAGTATTCTAGTGGTATTCCAGAGTTAACACAGTCAAGGCACATAACTGGATGGGACGTTGGACATGTAAACAGTTTTTATCCATGGGGTTATACACTGATAAACTCCTACCAAGAGCTTCCCAAGGTGATCTATGGTACGAATTACTGCATCTCATGTCATCTGGTGGGATGATGCTCGAGGCTGATATCACAGCCAATGATACAATGCCGTTGTGCATTCAATAAGAGGCCACTTCATCAGATACAGCAAAACCCATAATAAATCTTCTATAGGCGTATACAGGGGTACTTGGAGTAGTAACTAGCAATTGGGGACTCATAGTATGGGGTAGAGAACAAGAAACTGGCATAAAGTAGTAGTTATGCGTTGAGTATGAGTGACGACACCAAACTACAATACAATCAGATCTGTCCTCTACACGAGCCAAAACAACAGAACCAAATCCTACTTAGAGAGGAAATACTGATGCTATAACAGCATTCCTGGAGATTTCTTCATCAGTGGTTGCTGTGTGCCGCTGTTCTCCCACTCCGCCACCGCCAGCTCGGAGAAGAAAGCTGGATTTCGGCTGCAGTCCATCGTCACTGAACTTTCTCTATACTCCACTGCTACCACTCACCACAACCACCTCTTCCGACCAACTCACCTGTCCGTTTCGGCGATTGTTTTCTTTCGTCAACTGTTCAGATCTGCTGTCACTTCTATTCCCTCGCTTTTTGTCACTGTTTACGCTCTTTTATTGTTTGGTTGAGCTTGATCAAATCGGAGTTTTCTTACAGTGGGTGGACACACTTTTCTCCCCTATATGGACAACGTGAGTTCTGCACTTTGCCTGGAACCAGCATCCATCCCAAATCCATCCAGCCGGAATAAAAGAGAAAAAAGCGAATGGAACTGACATAGGAACTGTTGCTTTCTATCTTAGCCCGCAGAGCCTGATATGCTCGTCGATGAATACGAGCAATATCAGAATAACAATGACCGGACGGACGTCGTCGTCGTTTCCCGCTCCGGCTCTGAGGAGCCAGAGCCAGAGCCAGAGCCTCTTGCAAATGACCGTAAGGGCATTCACTTCCCTTTTCGACATCTCCGTCATGTCTCTACACCCGTCTTCCCTGCGTACCGCGAACCCCGCAACGGAGCTGTCGGAATGGCAATACACCTGCTATTGGAGAATGATATCTAATACGGATTTTACTATAGACGCTGCAATGATGGCACGAATCCTCCCGAAAGACCCAGAACTGGAAACACTGGATGAAACACATCACACATGGCATGTCAAAAACTGGCGAACGTTGGATCGGAAAGAACATGGGCCAGCCTTCCAGTGCGGAGGCTCCCCATGGTGAGTGGAATCACTTTGCCCGCATGTTGGAAGATGCGATTCTGATAATACGATAATAGGCGGATTCTCTTCTTCCCGTATGGCAATCACGTCGACTATGCCTCGCTCTACTTGGATCATGCCTGGGAAAAGGAACCACCGGAGAACTGGTACGCGTGCGTGCAGTTTGCTTTGGTCCTATCGAATGTGAATGATCCGTCCATCTACACCACTCATGGTAGGTAGAAGAGAGGCCCGTCTCAGCTCCGTCGAAGCGCTGCCGCTTTGCTCACATGAACTCCAGTCGCGACGCATAGATTCAATGCAGACGAGGGGGACTGGGGTTTCACCAGATTCTGTGAATTGCGGAGGCTGTTCGGTGTCCCCTGGGAGGGACGAGATGTGCCGCTTGTACAGAATGACGAGGCAAACATCACAGCCTACGTCCGTGTTGTCAAGGACCCTACTGGAGTCTTGTGGCACAGTTTCCAGAAGTAAGCATTGGAGTAAAAATTTTAATTGCTGCTTGACGACTAACCTCTGTTAACTAGCTACGATTCTAAAAAGGAGACCGGAATGGTCGGTCTGAAGAACCAAGGTGCAACCTGCTATCTTAATTCACTCCTACAATCATTGTACTTCACCAACATGTTCAGAAAGGTGCGTATGCTCTCATCACAGCCTCCTTATCCGCATACTCACCGGCTTAGGCTGTCTACCAAATCCCGACTGAGGCCGAGTCCTCGAGAGCCAACAGTGCCTGGACGCTTCAGAGACTCTTCTACAGTTTACAAACAAGCGATAACTCCGTCTCGACGACTGAACTTACGGCCTCTTTCGGCTGGGAATCAAGACAGATATTCGAACAACAGGATGTCCAAGAATTGTCGAGAAAACTCATGGAGAGGTTGGAGGAGAAGATGAAGGGTACCCCCGCTGAAAAGGCACTCCCCGACATGTTTGTTGGCAAAACGAAAACGTACATTTCCTGCATTAACGTCGACTACGAATCCTCTCGCGTGGAAGATTTCTGGGATATCCAGCTCAATGTGCGAGGTAACAAGACCCTTGATGACAGTTTCCGGGACTATATCCAGGTGGAAACTCTCGAGGGCGAAAACAAGTACGACGCTGGGTCGCCTTACGGACTCCAGGATGCCAAGAAGGGTGTCATTTTCGAGAGCTTCCCGCCCATTTTGCACCTACATTTGAAGCGATTCGAATACGATATCAACCGCGATGCTATGATGAAGTTGAACGACAGACACGCTTTCCCGATGGAATTCGATGCTACGCCTTATCTGTCTGAGGATGCTGATAAGTCTGAACCTTGGGTCTATCAATTACATGGTGTGCTGGTACACAGTGGCGACTTGAATGCCGGTCATTATTACGCATACTTGAAGCCTACTAAGGATGGGCATTGGTATCGGTTTGATGATGATCGGGTCATTCGAGCTACTGAGAAGGAAGTCCTCGACGAGAACTATGGTGGTGAATACGAGCTGTCCAATGGCGCTACCGGAGTTAGACAGCCACACACCCGTACGCTGTCTACCAAGCGGTCAATGAATGCTTATATGTTGGTCTATATTCGGAAGACGAGTTTGGATGATGTCCTCCTTCCCATTACCAAGGACGATGTTCCTGACCACATCGGTATGCCGCAATCTTACCCTCTTCGTATTTGATGTCGCTAATCTTGTCACAGAGACACGCTTGGTTGAGGAACGCGCCGAATTCCAGCGGAGAAAGAAGGAAAGGGAAGAGGCTCATCTGTATCTCAACGTCGACGTCCTGTCAGAAGAGACTTTCAAATCACACCATGGATTTAATCTGACAAGCCTTGACTTGCCAACTGACGATCCCGCACTGCCAGAACAACACCGAGTCCTCAAGGCTAAAAAGGTCAGCGAGTTTGCGGAACAGCTCGCGCAAGAAAAGGGTGTCAAGGCGAGCCAGATCCGATTCTGGGCGATGGTGAACCGTCAAAACAAAACTACGCGTCCGGACCAGGCCATCAGGGATCCTGAGATGACTCTCGAGGAAGCGCAGGCCAGATTCGGTTCGAAAGGAAACACATTCAGAGTCTGGATGGAAGTCGGCCAACCGTCTGCCGATGGAACAGTTGATTGGCCGGACAGCGCAAATTCTGTGCTCATTTTCCTGAAGCATTTCGATGTCATGGCACAAGACATGGTTGGTGTCTGCGCCGTCTACGTCCGCAAGAATCAGAAGGTCTCCGAGCTGGCACCATTGATTCTCGAGAATATGAGTTGGCCCGCTGGCACGGAGTTCATGCTGTTCGAGGAGATTAAACCCTCCATGATTGACGTTATGAAGCCCAAGCAAACTTTCCAACAGTCTGAAATACAGGACGGTGATGTTATTGCTTTCCAGCGGACAGTCAAAGAGTCTGAGCTGCCTCCTACCGCATTATACCAGGACGCAAGGCAGTACTACGACTACTTGCTGAACAAGATAGACGTGTTTTTTGCTCCCATCAGGGTGGGAGAAGGCGACGAGTTCACACTAACACTCAACAAAAAAATGACATATGACCAGTTCTCGAAGAAGGTCGGTGAACACCTTGATGTGGACTCGACACATTTGCGCTTTGCGACAGTCCTCGCAAGCACCGGCAAACCGAAACCATTTATCAGGCGCAACCCTAATCAGACCGCTCAAAACCTAGACTCAATCCTCAACCCACAAATGAACGGTGGATACGGATACAGCCTGCACCGCACGGATGCGTTGTATTTCGAAGTTTTGGAGATGAGCTTGAGCGACTATGAAAGCAAGAAGTGCTTGAAGGTGACCTGGCTTCCCGAGGGCATTACCAAAGAGGTGAGTCATTCTGCCTTATTTTCAGCGAAAAGAATAAGGCCGTACTGATTGGGCAATAGCAAGTTGTTGAAGTACTTGTCCCTCGGGACGGGACTCTGCTGGACCTTCAGGTTGGGCTGCAGAAGAAACTGAACCTCGAGGAAGATGCGATTAAATACCTGAGAGTCTTCGAAGCACATAGTGGCAAAGTTCACAGGGAGCATCCGCAAGACAGCAAGATCTCCGGTGTCAACGATTTTGTGCCTTTGTACGCTGAGAAGATCCCTGATGAGGAACTCAACCTGGAGCAAGGAGAAAGTGTGGTCAGTGCGTTCAACTTTGACCGGGAACCAAACCGGCCGCATGGTGTGCCGTTCAAGTTCGTTATAAAGCTTGTAAGTGCAGCGGCTCTACTGCTCGATTTTCCAATAGATTCACTAATAATATCCAACAGGGTGAGGTTTTCAAGGAAACGAAGGAGAGGCTTTCCAAGCGAACCGGCATTAAAGGCAAGAACTTTGAAAAGATCAAGTTTGCCGTTGTCGCTCGGACCTTGTACTCTTCCAGTCCGCGGTATCTTGAGGATGGTAAGTTATTTCCTTGCTATTATTGCAATATCTTATGGGAATGGTGTTAACCTTGCTTCCAACAGATGACATCCTTTCGGACGTGATTGGTGACAGCGAGGATTTCCTCGGTCTTGACCACCTGAACAAAAACCGGAGCTTCTGGAACCGTAGCGAGTCTTTCTTCATTCGATAGAGGTTTTCCTGCATCGACACCGCAACCGTTGTTGCCATAGACGAAAGAGATATCGTCAATGACAGCTTAAGATCTACGCTTCGAGGAGCTAGTGCAATGCTTTATTTTTCTATTTGCTGCACATGGGGCATGATGAAATATCTCGAAGCAGAATATAACATGAGGCAAACAGTTTATAGCAATTTCTTTGACTGGAGTTTCGTCTAATGGGTTTCAGTAATGGTACCATGGCCAGTAGTATTTGATTATTTTCTAGATGTGATATTTGAAACGTATTCATTAGGGCAAGAGAATTGTTTCTTTTTCTTTTTTTACACATGATATCGGAACCCTGTGCACAAGAGTATTAATGGAGTGGAGAGTGGAGATGCAAACAGAGCAAACAGCGCGGAAACACCAACACACAGTTGTCCAGAACAACCATCACCTCAACCTCCGATCCCGATCAATTCGCCCCCGTTTGAAGGAGAGCTGTCCCGGTTGAATTCCAGCCTCTCCTACCTATTCCCGCCCACGATGCGTCTTGTGACATTGGTCATTGGCCTCCTGGCCGCGTTCGTGTCGAATGTGACGGCCACCGCGCTGACCTACAAGCTCGAGGCCAACGAGAAGGCCTGCTTCCACTCCTACGTCGACCACGCGAATTCGAAGGTGGCCTTTTACTTTGCGGTACGCATGCGCTCCATTCTATATCTACTGGCTTCTGCTGTAAAAGGATAGCCAATTAATGGAGTGGTTTTATTATAGGTCCAATCCGGCGGTTCCTTCGATGTCGATTACTCGGTAATCGCCCCCGGCGAAAAGGTCGTTTTGGATGGCACCAAGGAGCGACAGGGAGACTTTGTGTTTACGGCGCAGAGCGTCGGGGAGTACCGGTTCTGCTTCAACAATGAGATGTCTACGTTTGCGGAGAAGATGGTGGACTTTGAGATTGCGGTATGTTGTGTCCGACCTTTCCCCCCTCGCCTCCTTTTTCTTATATGTTGTCATACGCGATGCCGCGCATAAAACTTGTTTTCGCTTCCCCGCTATGAACTCATTCATGGTCCCTTTGCATCGCGTGGCGCCGCTGACATGTTGTCATTACAATTAGGTCGAGAACGAAGAACGTGCCCAACTTCCCTCCCGACAAGGTAGCACTAGCCCTGAACAGGCATCTGCTCTCGAGGAGTCGATTTTCAAGCTGTCCGCGCAATTGTCGACCATCTCGCGGAACCAGAAGTACTTCCGGACCCGCGAGAACCGCAACTTCAGTACCGTGCGTAGCACGGAGCGCCGGATTTTCAACTTTAGTGTCGTTGAGGGGTTGATGATGGTGTCTATGGCTGGATTGCAGGTGTTTGTGGTGAGGTTTTTCTTCCAGGGGGCTAGGAAAGGTACGTGTCATCATTTGGTTGGAAGAATACTCGGTCTAGGTGGAAGGGGACATGACATGACGTCTCTTCTCACTTCGGTTTCCCATCAAAGAATAGTTTGACTGACTGGAAATTCGTGTACAGGTTACGTGTGATGATAATAATGCCAATGTTGGATTCAAATCTGTGGCGGGTACCGTCACTTGTTGTATTTATTCTTTTTACAAGAGCCAACACATTCATCTGTTATAATTGAAATGTTGCGTCATTAAAACATTCAACTAAGAAGTGTGCGCCTAGAAAAGAAATTATTATTATTATTATTATTTATTTTTTTTTTTTTTTTGGGGGGGGGGGGGGGGGCGAAGGCAGGGTGTGGTCAGTCACGTGTGGATTATAGACCGAACAGTCCCTGGAATGATATCACTTCCGTCTCCCCTTCTACTGTACGTTCTAGACAGAGGATGGGCTAGAATTGTCAGACCGCATTGCTGACAATATGAGATCACAAACAATCGAAAATAGCATACACCGTGATATGCTCAGAGTACGGATGTACATACGATGAGACAGACCTTGAGCTAAACCCCCACTGCTCCAATGTCATGGAACCCTTCGTTTCACAGAGACATTGACGCTAATGCACACTGACATAGGGCACCGGACACCGGACATGCTGTTCGGAGTACTCAGGAGCATTCCGAATATTTTGTACAACACATCCTACCTCATGTGGCAAACACAAGGCTATCATTACCATCATGGGAAAGGAATTCGCTGCAGTGTCTTTTTTCAGAGCGTGAGGAAAAAGGTTGATCCCGATGCAATGCATACAATAGTAGTCTAGACTACTTTGCATAGTACGGAGGATTCCGTAGTCTAAGACTCGACTCGAATGTCAATCTCGGAGCAAGACGCGATGATACGTGTTAGGATACCATAGAGCCTAGAGCTCGGGAGGGTGCAGCAGTGATGTTTTATCCACTCATCCATTCATTGCTGGTAGGACCCTAATCCACCGTGGTTTATCCACATTCACATCGAAACGCGTTACCGAGAGCCAATGGGTTCTGACATGGAAATGATTAACGGGTGCTCATGATAAGCTTGCCTCTTCACTACGGAGCAAATGCTCTACTTATGCGTGTCTGTTGTTTCAGACGAATGCCGATACCTCGGAGTCCATCGGGCTCCTAGAGATGTGCTCAGGGACTGTGGACACAATAAAACGACGACCTATTGACCCGGATCAACCAGATCACACGGAAAACATATACTACCCATGCATTCTGGAGCCTTAGCTCTGCATGAGGGGCAGAGGAAGAATTGATATCATGTCCGTTCGCAGACTTTAATCTCCGGTGTAGATGATCCACAACCCACATCATGAAGTCATTTTCGCAGAGGGTATCCCGAGCAACCGATATATCTCAACTCGCACGATGATATAGCTGTACTACTTGATTCAGTAACAGCCTTGCTGTTCAATCATTACTCTATGAGGATAAACTCGTCCATGACAAATAAGGGTCCCTTATTTCTTGACCAGGATCCCGATCTGGTGAACGATCAAATCATGATGTCTGACGATGGAGAACATACGGAGTACAAAGCAAAGAAGGGAATGTGGGAACTGTGTCCTAAACCTTCCTATATAGTACGTAGTATGCATTTTCTTTTTCTTCCTTGTGATCCACTACTGTGGTTGCCGATCTGAAGCCTTGTGTCATTTCTTCGGTTGTCCGTATTTGGTTAGGTACAGGTCCCCGGTGTGTCTGCCTGTAGGTGCGTTTGATGGCCATCTAGGCCCAGATGTTGTGATGTTTTCTTTTGTGTAAAGTGAGTGTTCACAAGGAGGCTGATATAATTCTGCTGGGAGTGGAGAATACAATTTTCCCTTTTGGGCGATGAGGTCATATCAAACTACGTGCCTGAATGCCTGAGGAAGGCATGATGTCATTTTCGATGCAACCAATCCAATCGTACTATGTACGTAGATATAGTTGTATATTGTATATGTATGCATAGAGAGATGAGTGCACTAGTTTAAGCAATCATTCATTTGTCACCCTTCTTCCCTTTTGTATGCACTTGGCTGTTCTTCTGTGAAAAATCCAACCATAGCAATTATATCATACGGTTCCTCCCAAACCCCCATAACCAATTCTATTACCCACTCTCAGCTTTGACCAACCACCAGCCAGCCTCGTCGACGCTTTTTTCGCCTCTGCATTTCCCCACGGCAGATTGACTATCCTCCATACTGATTGATTGATCTCAAATTCTGGACCAGTGGACCACAAACGACGCAAAAGCACCAACCCTATAGGTTTCTCCTTCCCTCCTCCTTTCTTTCTGTTCGCTTATGTTTCCGACGTGATTTATATCCGCTACTGCTCCAAGCGCGTTCCTACGATTTCTCTCCTACATTCTATCATTCTGTATCCAATCTGTCCTCTGTCCTCTGTCACTCTCCGCCTCCCTCTGTGAATTTTTTCCCGTCTTCTTTAGTTTAGTCTCGTCTTTAACCTCTCCGTGCGCGGCTTGATTATCTGTCATCCTCGAATCGGTGTGCGAATATCCACGCTTTAATCCATATCCACTTTATTCAACTGCTTATTCGAATCGATATCTGATCTGATATCTCTGACCTTCTCAAGTCCGTGGCCTCATTGAAATTGACAAATGCGATGCGCAAACTGACTCTTCTCCTTCCAGTACCCTCACATTCCACCCATTTCAGACTATGGCAGTTTCATCCACCCCCGTCGTCCTCGAAGCCATTAATCAGCAAACCACGATCAACGAAAGCGGCCGACCCCTGGGATCTGACCTAGACTCAACATCCACCAGCAAAGGCCCAACACAAACCCAACGACCTCTCGACCCTCGCACCTCCATCAACGACTACAACCGTGTCATGCTGCAGTACACCCAACGCCGGATGTCTACCTTCTGCGGCATGGATGATGGTCGCGGTTTTCCCGGCGCCGGCGGCAGCAGCAACACGAGCAACACCAGCAGCCGGGGCAGTGATACAAGTTTTTCGCTCAGCGGGGACACTGCCGTTTCCAATTCGCAGAGTGAGGTCGTGGATCGTCTGCAGTTCTAGTCTGTGAGCGTTCTAGATGGTGCTGAATCGAAAAGCCCGGGCAAACGAATGGGTTCGTTTGGTCATCATCGATATGGTTACGAAAGCGTGCTTGATTCTTTTTTTTTTTTTTTTTTCTTTTCTTTTTTTTTTAGCGAGAGCCAATCTTATTAATGCATTTTCTGGCATGAACAATCCTACTGTCGACTCTTGTCTCTGTCCCTGGAACGCATCAATAGTTATTGCTTCCTTACCCCCTATAGCCCTTCTGTTATGATGATGCGATTCACTCGAGTCATCATATCTCCCCCCCACCACCCTGCCCCTTGTCTTTTTTCTTCCGGTCAAGAAAAAAAGGACAAAAAGGAAAGAAAAGAAAATATCCCTGCCCATGCAATATTCCCTGCCCTGTTTCTCTTCACTTTCACTTCTGTCATTCCTTTGACATACCCAATTTTATTATTGTTGGCTGTTTCTATGGTGAGAAACCAATGAAGCAGTCAATTTTCCCCCCCTTCCAGTTGTTCCGGTTGCATATCGTAGTAAATTGTTCAATGTAAGATGTGCCAGGTATCTTATCTTATACTACCCCATACGTTCGCGCTACAGCACTAGCGCATTAAAGATGCGCATGGGGTATGGGGCATTGCAAATTGCCACGCGTGAGTATTTACCGTATTTTTTGCGACCAACAATAAGGTCACTTAACTGGTTACCGGTTGGTTTACAGGGTAGTTTTGATTGTTTGGATACGGTGGGGTTTCTCCAGACAAACCCCTGGGGTATATAGAGTCGATCTTGTTATGAATGCACAATTTTTGAGATGATATATACCTGAACCTGAAAGTCGTATCGACTCACATATTGACTATCGGGGGTTTGATTGAAAGAATACTAGGATTTTACTGATTGATTGGTTGTCCCAATAACCACTGATTTGAATGTATGCGTGCTGGCCTTGATTGGTGAAACAGCTCAAGCTATAGATTTGATGTACTGCGCATACGGACATTTTGACTGGATATCGTGGGCTGTGCAGATAAATCTTCCGATTCGCATTGTACTGCAAACACGCAGTTAAGATATGTATCACCGCCATCCACGTCCTCCACCGCGACCACCACCCTGCTGTCCCCATCCCTGCTGATTCTGATACCCCAGATTCGATCCCGACCCCGAGTGCGGCGGCGGGAAATGATACGATCCCGGCGGTAGCGGCACCGGAGCACCAGGAGCACCACCTCCCATGTGAATAGGTGGGAAATGACCACCCCCTTGCAATGGGAACGGTGATGGAAACGCGGGATTCAGCATCATCCCTGGCATCCCTGGCATCGGCGGAGGCGGAGGCCATGCGCCTTGATAGTTTGGCGGTGGAGTTGGGAGTGCCATTCCTGGGACTGGAAATTGGCCTGGTGGGAAACCATGTTGGTGCATCGGGGGCGGCGGAGGAGGAACTGCTGATGGAGGAGGGGCTGCGCTAGGAAACGGCTTGCGTTTGAAAGGCGGAGGGAATGATGATCGAGGACCGGTGGGTGGTGGGGGAGAGTACGATCTCTCGCGTGACGATTGACGTCTTGTTGGAGGGCTTGCTGATCGCGAATATGACCGTCGGTTGCCAAGTCCGCCTCGTCGGCCAACGGGAGACCGACTCTCGGATCTGGGGGATCGTCGCAGCCGTCGACCGTCTTCGCTTTCTGGGCTGTCGCTATAGCGTCTCCATCTCGGAGGAGTTTGGCTGCGGCTGACACTCCGACTCCAACTTCGACTTCGACTTCGGGAGCGTCTTATGTCCTTGGTATTCCTCTTCTTCATTTGCTCGCAAAATGAGCGGGACCAGCCGTAATACGTTTCACCAGTGATTATTTCGCCAGTCGTCGCATCTCGAATCACCGTTTGTCCCAGCTCGTCAATGTCGACCACTTCGTCGTCGTCCTTGGGCTCTGGTTTCTCTAGCTCGTATATCTGGTCTACATCCTTCATGAACACCTTGAGTGCTGACACCAATTTCTCGTCTGCGGGACCCGCCAGGAATTGAAGTGGTTTAATCGACTCGGGTCGGAGAGAAATTGTCGAGTTCGGTATGATGTGCGGAACCAAGTTGCCGGCCGGTAGGTCGTAGTAAGGAGTGGTAGGATCGCCGTGCGTTGACGGCATGACGAATGGTACCTCTTTTCCGGAGGCTTGTTTCTGGCTCGCTGTATCGGTATTATTCTCCTCCACGCCAATGGACGTCTTCACTGGTCCGGACACGGCCGAGTTCTTCACCACCTCCCGCAGCTTGCTGACATAGTCTGCACCGTAATATCCGTTTTCCGCCCAGATATTCAGAAGATCATCGAGTCGTCGGTGGTGCTTGGGATTCTTCTCCCGATCGTACGACGCAGCGGAACCCAACAGTTCAACTATATAGGGTTGACAGGAGCCGGTCAAGGTCGAAAAAACCGCCGTCGAATCTAGGTGGTATTTGGTATGGTGGAAGAGGTCGTTGAGGAGATAGAAAATGTGTAATCTCTTCCTCTTGTTCGAGGGTTTGGAAGACTTGCCGTCATCGGTAGCGAGCGAGCCGGATAAAGCGACCAGGTACTTGGCCCAAACCCCGACGCGATTGGAAGACGAAACGACATAGTTGAGAAGCCATGATTTGCAATTCTACCGCACACAAGGCAAAAAATAAGAGAAAGGCCAAGAATTTAGTATTCCAGCGGTACTCGACAAGGCAGGAAAACAAGAGAGGAAGGACTCCAATCAAACCTGGATGTTGGCATAGGAACAATGCGAAAGCGCTTGGTCGAGCGCGGAGTGGAAGGCTGTGATTTCGTCGCGCGAGACGGAGGTAGGGTCGGGACGTAGTAGACCGGCTGAAAAGGAGGCTTTTGCGATAGCCAGCTGATGGGACGCCATGGTGGCGTGTGAGAATTGAAATCTGGAAAGTGTTGTATCCGACGAGATCAAGAGTGATACTTTCGGCCAATCTGTCTACGCACGTGACCTACCGCCTTTAGCTGTTTATGCCTTAGGAATACATGAATGTCATAAATACTACGAAAAGGTCATAAGATCCTCTCCAGTCACTATGGAGTACATAGAGCCTCCAGTGAGGGGGAAACTGACAATGACATCGTAGAGATCTATTTGAACCTAGAATTTTGGCGGTTGGCGCTCTAGTTGGGCGTCCACCCAATGAGGAAAAGGCATGCCTGAGGCGGTCTTCTCGCCAGGGCGCGCCATCCGGAGCGCATGAGCAAATGATGTGCACCTGGCGTCGTAGTGTCTACGAATCAGTGCTGCAGTTCTATATATGTCGAAAGGGGTCCTCCTCGTTGAGTGGTATGATCGCATCATCGTCAGCCTGCCTTGCGCGTCTGAGCCGGGTAAATGTTTCCCGCCATCAGAGCATTTCGGAATTGAGACTCCTGAGCTTATCCGGGGTTCATCCATGGTCTGGACTGACCGAAATATAGGGTGATAGAAAGATATACACCGGTAATAACTCCAGAATAACCAGGAGATACCCTTTAAACACCAGTGCTAGAATGGACGACCCTGTCAGCAGGAACAGTACAAAGTGGTACGGTACGGTATGGAACAGTACGGTCTGGTATGCCATTATAAGCTGGGCAGGCGGTGGATGACCCACCACCCCGCAATTCTCCACGCGGGTCACGGCAGCGGTTGTTGTATTATCGCGCGATCCGATGTATACGTACTGGCCGAGTCCACGAGTATTCATATAAAGGCCGTGTTGGCCATCCAGAGTGATCTGTAGATTCATTCATATTCTGCATACTGCTTCCACACCACTATAACTGCTTTTACTTCTACCATTACTACCAGTTACCAAAAACAAACCACCAACAAACACACCACCATCATGGCCGCTCAACTCCTCCGTCCTACAGTCCGCAGCTTCTCTGTCCACCGTCCTCAGCAAGCTACGCGGACTTCCCTCTTCATCACCAGATCCTGCCTGGTTTCAGCCGTCGTGCTGCCATTCGTGCCTCCTGCTCTGGAGAGCTCTCGTGAAAAGAGTATGGGTTACCCTAACCACAACAAGTGAGTTGAATAACAGTTATTCTCGACGATGTTGCTAACGCTCTATTGTTCTACAGACCGAACCCACCGCTCTGCTTCCATTCTCGCTAAATAGTTGAGAACTCGTCGAGTGTTCTACTACGGAGACACGGTTTTGCTTCCGGAACGCGAGATTAGCATGCGCATCATACAAATACATAATACGGGACGGTGTTTACGGAGTTTGGTGATTGGTGGGGACTGCTTTTATCATAATGGGGGTGCATATGGCTTTTTTTTTTGGCTGCTTGACTGGGCTCATGTTATACCCAGTCTTCAAACCCAACTTCTTTCGGCGATCCGTGGTGGCATGGTGATGACCAGCGGCGTTGCTCAGATTGTTAGGGCTATCGAGAAACAGATACTATACTTATTATTACGAATGACACGAAGAGAATTATTTAATACCATTTTTGTCCATTGTACAGAATAATCGCAGTGCTCTTGCATTTTCATCATGACATGGCCTATCATGGTGCCAAGCATATAGAGTACATATGATCGACCATCTAAGCCGTAACCACCCCGCAAGTTACCGCATCAGCTAAATCGATTGCCCCTAGGAGGCCGAAAAGGTTGTGCGGTCTCGTATTTGCTCTTTTCTAGCACTCGTTCTGCCTCCGTCTCGGGTTCATGGCGCGTGGCTGCAGGGTCATGACTAGCCTGTGAACTCGGCGATAAATCGTCTGTCGCATTAGGTCTCGACTGGTGCAGCGTTCCCTGATGTCGGTGCTCGTTTTCGAGGGCTGCCATTTGGGCCTTCTTCTTCACTTCTGTTTCATATCGGTTCGCGCGATCGGCGTTGATGGACTTTTTCGCGAAGTAGTAGGCGCCGCCGCCAGCTGTGAGATTTAAATGTCAATTGCGAGGTTCATTTTCATTACTCGCATATCGGAAGTACGCACCAACTGTGAGCGTGCCCCAGCCAATCCTGTTGGCATGCAATCATCGCGTTCCGGTCAGCAATTGTCCATCTTGTCGGAGATCATACGATTCCGTGGTTTGCTTCGAAATAATCTTTTCTCACCAGGTTGATCGAATCTAGACAGAAACAGAGAGATATTAGCTAGGTGCCATGACCTGTAAAACAATCGGTTAACATACCGTATTCATATTGCTTGGTGAGTTCCTCGTTCAAGCGTGTAGGAGTTGTCGAAAAAACAAAAGGCCGTCAATTGTTCCGCACTACGTCAACCGCCGCTGTCGTGAAAGTAGACCAATAAGAGGTTCCGGACCCAGTGGCGTTGTAGCCTCAGTGCCTCAGGCGCAAATGATCCTTCCATCTTCCTCGGCCGGTCGATCTCTTTTCGACTCATCAACCAACCTTTTCCACTGTCATTCGGTTTGCATCTGCCCTTGCGACTAGCTTTTCAAGTCTCCTGCACTAAGCTGGCTATTGCATCTAGGCTTTCGAGGCGTGCCTGATTCACCGGCATTGCTCTACAGGCGTCGGCAGCCTGGTGAGCCTCGTCTTATCGGACTTTGAAGACGACATACCTTACCTCGAACGCCAGTCATAGCGCAATATACTCATATAGAATGCCTCCGAAACGCAAGGCGACTGAGAGTATGGCCTTTAATGCTCGTTAATAGATAAACGACGAGCTGACACTTAACTAGGCGGCCGGTCAAGGCCGTCGAAACGTCAGACGCCTATCGCGGATGGTCAGGATATCGACAGCGATGATGATTACTCCGACTATGAAGAGGATGTCAGGGAGGACAACTTGAAAAGTGCGTAGAGCAGCGCCGTTAACATCTCAAGCCAGTTGCTGACTTGATTTTGCTTGGAATGAAACAGATGTCGTCAGCAAGTTCGATCTCGAGTCGTTTAGCACCAAGAAAGGCCAACCGCACGAAGACCCGAATTTTGGATACAAAGATTTTTCGTCGCTTTCCCTGAAACCGGACCATGCGAACCGTCCCCTTTGGATCGATCCTTTGAAGGGTACCATTACCCTGGAGAGTTTCTCTCCGTTAGCACCCCAGGCGCAAGACTTTTTGACGACCATCTCCGAACCGTTATCACGACCGACCCATCTCCACGAATATCGTCTGACCGGTAACAGTTTGTATGCGGCGGTATCCGTTGGTCTGCAGCCGACCGATATTATCAACTTTTTGGATCGACTTTCGAAGACGCCGCTCCCGGATACGATCAAATCGTTTATTATCGATTTCACAAAGTCTTACGGAAAGATTAAAGTGGTTTTGAAACATAACCGTTTCTTCGTGGAAAGTACGGACCCGGCGATGCTACAAATGCTGCTACAGGATGAGGTTATTGGACCGCAGAGATTACAAGGGACGGAGGGAATCATTCAGCAGGCGGCTCCGAAAATGGGTGGCCTTGTGATTCCCGGTACGAAGGATGCCGCAGGTGTACAGCAGACGCAGCAGGAGAAGCCGGCGGAAGGCAATGGAGCGGCACCTACGGGTCGTCAAGAGGACGACCTCCTTCTCGCCATTCGCGATGACGATGATGATGAAGAGCAGGCCCAGGTCCATAGTTTTGAGATTCCTAATGAAGCGGTGGAACCGGTCAAAGCGCGTTGTCAGGCCATGGGGTGTCCCGCGTTGGAGGAATATGATTTCCGAAATGATGAGATCAACCCCAACCTCGATATCGACTTGAAACCCAACGCACGGATCCGAAACTACCAGGAGAAGAGCTTGAGTAAGATGTTCGGTAATGGTCGTGCTAAGAGTGGTATTATTGTGTTGCCGTGCGGTGCTGGCAAAACGCTGGTGGGAATTACGGCTGGTTGCACTATTAAGAAAGGAACTATCATTCTCTGTACCAGTTCCATGTCCGTGGTGCAATGGAGAAACGAATTTTTGCGCTGGTCGAACATTGACCCCGGTGACATTGCCGTGTTCACATCTGACAACAAAGAGAAATTCCGTCGGTCTACCGGCATTATTGTTTCGACATACTCAATGGTGTCTCAGACCCGGGCTCGGTCGTATGATGCACAGAAAATGATGGACTGGATCCAGTCGCGGGAATGGGGTCTCATGATTCTTGACGAGGTCCACGTCGTGCCAGCATCCATGTTCCGAAAGGTCACGTCGGCCATTGCGACGCAGAGCAAACTTGGTTTGACTGCCACGTTGCTGCGTGAAGATGACAAGATCAAAGATTTGAACTTCTTGATTGGGCCGAAGCTGTATGAAGCCAACTGGATGGAACTTGCAGAGCAAGGGCATATTGCCAAGGTCCAGTGTGCCGAGGTGTGGTGCCCTATGACAACGGAGTTTTACTCTGAGTACATGCGGGAGAAGTCCCGAAAGGCTGCCTTACTGTACATTATGAACCCTCGCAAGTTCCAGGCGTGCCAGTTCTTGATTGACTACCACGAAAAGCGCGGAGACAAGGTGATTGTATTCTCAGACAACGTCTACGCCTTGGAGCGGTATGCGCTCAAGTTAAACAAGGCCTATATTTACGGTGGTACACCGCAGAACGAGCGTCTGCGGATTCTGGAGAACTTCCAGCATAACGAACAGGTCAACACCATCTTCCTGTCCAAGATTGGAGATACGTCTCTGGATCTACCGGAAGCTACCTGCTTGATTCAGATTTCCTCTCACTATGGTTCGCGTCGTCAGGAGGCCCAACGCCTTGGACGTATCCTACGAGCCAAGCGTCGTAACGACGAAGGCTTCAACGCATTCTTCTACTCCCTTGTCTCCAAGGACACGGACGAGATGTTCTACTCGTCCAAGCGACAGGCCTTCCTGGTCGACCAAGGCTACGCCTTCAAGGTCATCACTCACCTCCAGGGCATTGAGAACCTGAACGGACTCGCTTATGCCACGCCCGCAGAACGCCGCGAGCTATTACAAGAAGTCATGCTGCAGAACGAATCATCCGCGGAAGTCGAAAATGTGACGGACGACCTTTTCGCCGCGCGCTCGGGCGGAGCCAAGGGTGCCGCGAAGAAGGGCGTCAAGCGCAGCGCAGCAACGCTCAGTGGATTGGCTGGTGGAGAAGACATGGCGTATATTGAATACAACAAGAGTCGCAACAAGCAACTCAAGGACAAGACGAGTCATCCGCTGTTCCGAAAGTGGGAGCGGGAACGCCAGAAGAGAAAACAAGGCATGGCCGATATGAATCGTTAATCGTTTATTTTTCTTTTTGGTCAACTACCAGGCTATTGTAATTTTCTGCATGTTTTATACTCAATTGCATTCGGAGTCTAGAGGTCGGGGGTTCAAACACACAAGGGAACATAAGAAGCATTGCCTTTTTTTTTTTTTTTTGAAAATTACATACCAGATTGCAGACAAATCAAAACAGTTACTTGGCATCTCAACTAATTCTCGACTCTTCAAGTTTATAGGATGTGACGTCCAGACGCGATCACCCCGGACTCCGAAAGCCCCGAACTCCGACAAGGCGGAGATCCAGGGTCTGCAGAAGTGACGTATTGGTAATCCTGGACACTCCAATGGACCGATTGCTACACAGTTTGGTTGGTTATACAGGAAGTAACATGGCTGATCATTGAATATATATATTTCCCATTGCCATTGCCCTTTACCAGACGATAAAGCAAATGCGTCTATCATCAACAACTACAAGAGCAATTACTTCTGCTGCTGCTCGCGGTCCACGAATTCCAATTTGGTCATCTCGATCCTCAACTGTTACAATTCTTCGTCCTGCACGGGCTAGGACGGCATTGCCCATTTGCAATCTGAGGAATATAGTGCCTGGAGCTCGTTTCGCTGCTACGACTACCGGTACTGCCGCTACCGCTCAACCCTTCGACATATCATCGAACATGGCTTCCGCAAAGAAGATCCAATTGTCTCCACAGACCGACACTGGAGTCTGGAGTACAGGCGTGGTAGAGGATTCTGCTCGGACAGCAAGCGAGGTTCTTCAGGAGGACTTGGAGAAGCATCATGTCTATTTCAATGACATGGGATTTCACAGTATGTCCAACACCGCAAGCCAACAAGGGCAAGTGCTAATGAGGCAAACCAGACCATATCGTCCACCATATCCTAACAATCTACGCCCTCGGTGCATCGCCAAGTGAGATTAAAGCCGCCTACGACCGAAATAAGGCCTACCAACGACCTCCGTTACCCGTGGATGAGAATGTCGTACAGTCGCTGCATGACAAGGTTAAGTTCAAGGAAAGTCTGGGGAAGCAGAAGAATTATCCGAACTTTCTGGAATTCTTCCAGGGCGAGATTGAGCAGAAGGGTGTTGAGGGGGTCTTGGGTGAATATGTGTTCTCTGGGGACGAGAATGCGGAGAGTATGTTGGCGAGGCTGTTTGGAGGTATGTTTGCCCGGTAATATATAAGGAGGCTGGTGGATGTTAACCAAACAGGACTCCTCCACCCAATTATCCACCTCGGTTTTGCAATTGAATTCAACCAGCCGGCCCTCATTGCCGAAGCGCTCGCGCAGACGGCAATCCACGAAGATTGGACCGGTCCGCGATTCCTCTGGCCGGCCGAGGAAGCTGCAGGTGGGATTGGCAAACCGGGAAAGAAGACCATGCTGCAGCTATTGAAAGAGGCGCGCGCGGATAAGAAGCTGGCGAGCTCGGTTCTTTGGGAAGACGGGAATAAACTCCGTGATGGGGTGCTCAAACGGGCACCGGAGGAGATGCTCAAATATGCTTCTCAGTATACGGTCTCTGAGGAGCAGATCCAGGAGAAGTTTGTTGAGATGGTTGATGTGTCTGGTAAGCAATTGAAATCCCCTGGACAGCTTGATGGTGAAGATGGGTGCTAATGATATTTGCAACGCAGTATACTTTAGCAGCGCCTGCCAACGCCCATCCAAAGAAGTCAAATTTGACTTCTTCTACATCCACACCGTTAACTCATCCATCTTCTACTCCAAGATCCTCGCTCTTCCATTCCTAGACACACGCACCAAGCTCCGTCTCCTTGAATGGAAAGGACGCATGGACCTTTTAATGTACATCTCCCGCAACGCACCCGAGCTCTACCTCGACGAAATCACAAGATACCCTATTAAGAGTGACTGGGACACCATCATTACCCAGAGCAACCGCCATCCCCACGATGACGGACATTTGTCTAAGCTAGTGCGGGCACTCAGGAATGCGGAGAATATCTGCCGGCCGTATGAGGGACAGGAGAAGGAGCGGGGACTTGTGATCACGGGGGATAGTTGGTTGAAAATTGGGAATATGGGTAAGTTACACTCTCCACTTCCTGTTATGACTCGTGAAAATTGGTGCTGACCGGTTGTAGTTAGCGATTCGGTCAAGGGCAAGGGGGAGACGACCATGTGGATTCGATCGACGGGCTTCGATGAGGCTTGGGAGCAGTTTGACGATAGGGCAAGACTTTAGGTCATTGATTGTGCAATGAAGAGCTATTCTGATACCGCGATATTTTTCATCTGATGCCCTAGTTTGCAAATGAGATACTCCAGTACCAATATCCATTTTGGCATAGCATATCTCAGTTCCTGACAAGAACGACTGTTTGCAGGGTTTGCACTGTATGAGATCAGCATCACGTGGTGATAGCCGAGTGGGGCATCCCAACAGCTTCAATAAGATCATTCCCCAACATTCATTGAAGAAGAAACTTCTTTGAAATAAGACGAAAATCTCTCTAATCGCCGAAACTACAGCACTACACAATGGCACCCGACGACGACACAAACCGCAACCAAACACCCTCGAATAGCAACACTTCCCCTCGGAGTACCCGGCAATGGCCGGATGACGATAACCCCTTCGTTGCATTCCGCCGCTACGCAGACGAGCAGATCTCCTCCATGCTGCAATCCATCATGGGCCTCCCATCAATGGTCACTCCACCAGTACCAAACCGATGGAGCATCTTCGCAGATGACTCTTACGACAATGTGCGTGCGAGACGACCCGAGGAAAACAGTAACCCGGAAGATGGCGCATTGTCCAGACAAGGCGATTCTCTCGATGCGTACCGCTACTGCAACCGCTGGTGGAACGGATTTGTTGGGTTCCCGGGTTTCTGGCGGTCTGATTTCGATGATGTTTTCCCGTTTGGGTCCCGGTTTATGCTTCCGTTTTTTACCTCGTTTGATGAGGGATTCGATGATACTGCCTCTTGGCCCGGGGCATACCTGCTATTTAGTCCGTACTCGCCGTTGAATCTGGAGGGTTCTTCTCTGGGAGGGCAGCATGAGGGCGGTGTTTTCTCCTCGCTCGTGTCGTCTTTGAGGCCTGGCTGCAATAGGGGTGCTGTGGAAAACAACGCCGAACCCCGCTGGCACGAGGCGTTCGAGGATCTTGTGCGATTGGAGAATGGACAACAGATGCTGGAATGGGAGTCTGAGGCCGATGCAGTGAGCAAGAAGGAGACTGGGATGGACTGGTTGAAAGGAATGATTCAACGGGGCAGTCTGGGTGACGGATGGGAGTGGCAGCAGGCAGACGATAACCCTAATAATGGATATGTCATGCTCGAACGGGGCCAGCTCCCTCGTCCGTCTGAGCGGGGTGCTGAGACTGAGAATGTGAAGAAGGATGATATAGGCCTAACTAAGCAGGATCTGTATGAGCATTTCCTGGAAGGCCTTGAGAGACGCGAGCGCGAGTTCTCCAGGATTTTTGATGAAAGTCGTACCTTGCGCTTCCTTTTGGGAGACCCTCGACGCAAAGAGGAGCTTCTTGAACGTCAGCGCAGACTCCCAGAGGAGGCTGACAACCGGACCGTGACTGGCGAAACCAACAAGACCCATGCCTCAGAGCTCTCTCAACCCCTCTCGACAGAACAAGCCAAAACCGAACCCCGTGTGGTCTCCACGCACACAAACACAAGGCGAAACCGCATGGCCGACGGATCCATCCACACAAAGACCGTCAAGACGCAACGTTTCTCCGACGGACACGAAGAAACCAACGAGTCCATCGATGTTGCTAACTCGCCCGAGCAACGTTCCACCGCTGACCAGAGCGGTGAACAGAGCTCCAACGAGGGCTGGTTCTGGCGGTGATTTAATGATATATGCCGTATTTAATATTTGATTGAATGTTTCTTGAGCGTGGGGGTTTTGGTTAGGGGGCGTTTTTAATTACACAACGATCTATACGGTTGACGACGTATAGACTCGAAGAAAATGAATACATCTTAATAAATTTACCTGAGCTGCTTCTACTCCAACAGTCCATCATAGCATATCGTAGATAAGAACTTTTCCATCAATGCAGGAGAGGCTTTTTTTTTTTTTTTTTTTTTTTTTTTTTCATCAGAGACCCAGTAGTATAATCTTTATTCTATTTTTTTTTTTAAAAAATCTTGGATTGAAGCTAATACCAATCTAGTCTTCCTTGACGTTCTTCTGCACCTTCCCAGCAGTCCAGCCCTTAGATTCCCAGTACTTGACACTGTCTTCCATCTTCTTGTATGCCCACGTAAACGAGGGATCTGTTCTAGTCAGTTCCACCGTAGTATTTGCACAGGAAAGAATAGAACTTACACAAGAACTGTCTCAAATCATGCCTATTATCCTCGGGCGAATACTGCTCCGCGTGATAACTCGGCGTCAAAACCGTCATCTTATGCCGGTTAATGGCATAGTTATAGAAGAAATGCCGAGTCTTCTCATAAATCTCCCTGGGGCTGTACTCGTTACCCCAGAGATGCAGCAACTTTTCGTACATCGTCCAGGGCCCCGCCTTTGCGATCTTGCGCAGGTATCCGAATGTCGAGAGCTCGGCGTAGGTAACGCCCATGTCTGCTTCGTCGGATTGGACGTAGGTGGAGGTGATAGGCTCGAGTTCGGCGGTTGGGGTGGCGTGGAGGAATTCGTCAAGGACGGGGACTTCGAAGTTGTCGCGGGCCCAGGCGATGAATTTTTTGAGGTCGACTTTGCTTATGGAGCCAATGGGGTTGAGCTGAAGGGTTAGATTAGCATTAATATCTTGACAGAAGGCTTAGGATGGGCTTACGTCTGCGCTACTGGCATCGTACTTGGTCAGGTAGCCACGCAAGCTGAAACGGTCAGTGATTGAGAACATCATACAAATGGAGGACTTGGGGGTTACGAAGGCTTCTTAAGGGATATTCTACATACCATTCTGCAGTAATGTTAGCAAGTATCTTTAGAGGTAAAGGAAGAGAAGAACATACCATCAACGTTGGACGATGCCAAAACAAGTAATCCACCACCTCCTGGGCGCTGGCGAACGGTGGGAAGCAAAGACGCAAACAAGTACGACAGGACCATTCTCAAACGAGCCTGCACATTTTGTAAAGCGGCATTCTCAGCCCTCCCACCGCCGTGGACCTTGAAGCGAGGCTGGAAATTGGTGACAACACTAAAGAGGTTCGTCAAGGCGGTTACAATGGTATCGAAGTTGAAGTCAATGTGGTAGGATCCGATATCCGTGGAGAGTGTCTTGGATCGTTCTCTTGTTTCCTTGCTTGAGTTCTGCGTACCCATGTAGCTGGTGCAGAAGATGCGGCTAGTAAGATGTCAGTGAAGTTCAATTCCAACATAAGAAAGTAGGACCATACTTGCAGAGTTCCTGGCTCGTGCTAGGAAGCCAGGTCGAGTCCTCGGGCTCAGCGCAGAGCCTGCGAGCGTCTTTAATCACTTGTTCATTCCCTTGACCAATTGCTTTAATGACCTCCCTACACATAGAGTGTACAATGACAGCTGTAGCACAACTGTCAATACCGCCACTCAGTGGAAGGAAGAACCCAACAGCACCGCTTCTTCGAAGATAGTCCCATAGCCAGCATGCGGGACCAAGAGCAATCTCTTCCTCTGGGGCATGGTAGCGCGGCTTGAAAGGTTCAGATGGTGAAAGGCTTGGTTCAGCATCCTCGTCCTGGCGTGAGAGTCTTGTGTCCAGATCGAGACGAATATAAGGAGGCTGTCTCGCTGCTTGCATGCCGCGACTAATGCTGGAGCGGTGCGTCCGGACCTCTTCGATATCAACGGTAGCAGTGACGACTTCCACGTCATTAAGAGAGAACTGGCTTCCCTGAGCCACAATGTCGCCGTTGATCACAATCATTGCACACCCGTCATAGTAGAGCCGATCACCGTCACAGCCTTGTTGGTTGGCATACAAGTAAATACCTCCACTCTACAGATATCGTTAGCCTGGTCATGGAGAACACAATTGGAAAACAAGACCTTACCTGTTTTGTAGCTTGTGAAATCAAGTTGACACGGGTATCAAGTTTTCTGAGTTCGTGGTGACTGCCCGACGAGTTCGAGATGATTTCCACACCTATAAAACGTGAGTACGATTGAGATGCAAATGCAACACGGGAAGCAAGCCATACCCGCAAGGCCATATGGAATGTGAGGGCTGATCAACGAGTTAGTAAAGCCGTGTCGCTTACAGTCTGAATACATGTGCATACCCGTTTGGTGTAAACAGCTCTTCGCAAGTCTCCAGACCCAAGCAAGTGTCCCGTGTGCTGATGACTGCATCGCCAAAGGGAACCTTGTACTGCCCAGTGATTTTACCCACAATTCGTTCCAGGTAGTAATCTTCGATTTCTTGGGGACGCTGCCAAGGGGTGAAATGTCTGAACTCGCGGTAGTTTCCGTCTAATTAGGAAAGCATCATTAGCAATCAATTGGAGTGATAGTGGTGGGCTTGTACAAACCATTGGCAAGCCACATCTTAGGGCGAATCAGGACGATCTTGCGGTTGTAGAAGATCACGCTTGATAGAGCAAATCTCGTCAGTATCCGGGATCCCAAGACTAGAGTCGAGCGTTTACCCACCGACAGTTGTAGTGCACGTTCCTGTGACGAACAGGCATACCCACGTCGACCACGATATCCTGGCAATCGGGGTGGTCGATGATGCGAGCAAACATCTCCCAAGAGTGCAAGAACGTATCGCCTTCTAAGAAAGCATCCAACGCGCCATATCCTGCACAATGTCAATGCGACGTCCGCGCCATATTCCATATCAACCTTTGTTCATACCGGTAATCTCGAGCTCTGGACCAACCCGCAGAGTCGCACCGGCTGCCTTGGCCTGGCGGATACTCTCAATGATGCGCTCTGCATTTCCCTCAAAGTCAAGAGCCCATTGGTTGAGGGAGCTATAGCAGTTAGTCAATGAGGATTTGTGAGGAGATGGCTAGTCAAGTGGATTCGGGGTTGCGCACCAGGTTGCGAGAGTGACTAGGTGACCCATGGTGGATAACCCGTGATATCGACCAGTCCGCACGGTTAAATATATTCAATTCCTAAGGTCGGCGCTTGGTAGACTTTATTAGCTGAGGATTGAAAAGGGTTAGCAATCACGACCGCTGAATAAAGAAAACCCGGCACGCAAGCACCCCGCACCGGAGGAAGTTGAGGGTATATTCCGTGAAGAATAGCAGATGAGCCCAGAGAACATAACGGGACATTAACTTACCAACACCAGCTGTATATCCTTATCGAAAAGAGAGGATGCGATATTCTGCTGTTTTTTCTGCTTCTCGTTCTGATAAGAGAATTGGAGACTGGAATGACGTAGATCACGTGTGTGGGGAGCTGCCCCTCCAGTGTCAGCGCATTATCATTAATTACAACAGTTTCCTGCAACTCTGGGCCGTAAAATTGTATTCCGAATACATCGGAACGCAGCCCGGCTGATTAATGCGCTCTCCTCGGCCCTGGAATTTGGCTTCAATCACGACTTTCTCCTTTTCATCTTTCCATATACAGCTTTGTACAGAAATTTGGTTCCTTATATAGAATCTGCTTTGGTGTTTATTTGTGCATATCTCTTTTTTATTCTGTGTCTTGCGTCTAGCTTCCTTACAGTGACATTATGAGCACTTTCCCCCAGATCCCCACGCCTGCCCATACGCAAGCCGAATCAATGTTGTCTCGACATTTTGGAAGGGAGACTGTGAATTATTTCTCCAGTATGAGCGCCTGTACCACCCGGGAAGCATGTGCGAATCGTGTACTAACTATGCTGCCAGGCTCCCCGCTGAACCGGTTGTCCTTCTTGCGCACGGAATATTCGTTTCTCTCGGCTGCATTGAAACACCCTTCCACTCGTTTTGTTCTCTTGAATAGCCTTGCGCCGTTGACCAAGACGCCCTCTGAGCTATACCTTGCCCCGTATACGGATGTGCGCAAGTTGGTGCCCGAGGATCTCTATGACCAGTCCGAAGAGGAAACGATCAAGAACTTCGACTCCCGCAAGACGAATCCGCATGTCATTTTCCTCGGAATGGACGAGAGCCGGAAGGCTGACAGCCTGACCTGGAAGATATACTCCGGGACACCGTACTTTGCCGTGGATGTGACCCCCAAGGGGTCCGAAGAGCAGCAGACCCACGCAAAGGATGTCATCAGCGCCTTGGAAGCAAAGGGATTGAGTTTCCTTCAAACTAGGGTGGTCATGACTCTTTCTGCCGATGAAGGTCCGTCCACATTCTCAATTCTGAGTTGATGACCTGCTCACATACTTTAGCTGCCATTTACGCACAAGCCCGCGCGCTCGCTGACTGGAACACCCGGAACAGTTTCTGCGGTACCTGCGGCAGCCCTACCCTCTCCGTAAACTCCGGAACCAAACGTGCCTGCCCACCAACGGATGCTGCTTTCGCAGCCCAAGGAAAGTCGCCAGAGAAGCCAGTCTGCAACACACGTACTACTATATCAAACCTGTCCTTCCCGCGTACTGACCCAACCATCATCGTCGCTGTCCTTTCCTCTGACGGTAAGCGGGTTCTGCTCGGCCGCTCCAAGCGTTTCCCACCGAACTGGTACTCGACATTGGCCGGTTTCATCGAACCTGCAGAGTCAATCGAGGATGCCGTTCGGAGAGAGGTGTGGGAGGAGGCGGGCGTGCAGCTTTCGCGCGTTGTCATCCACTCATCGCAGCCGTGGCCCTACCCGGCTAATTTGATGATCGGAGCAGTGGCACAATGTAGCGATCCAGCTCATGAAACGATTTGCTTGGAACACGACCCGGAGCTTGAAGATGCACGGTGGTTCGAGGTTGAGGAGGTCGAGGAGGCTCTGAGAGTAGGAATAAGTCCTTTGGGTGTGGAGGCTGGTCCTGAATATAAGGAAGGTGGCTTGCGACTGCCACCTCCGACGGCCATCGCCAATCAATTGATTAGAACAGCCGTTAGGGCTGAATATTTCGTGCCAAACAACGCGAGAATTTAGATAGTGTACAGACAGCGAATAGACCTTGTTGCGCTTTGCATGGATTTGTACTCCTGAAGGAAATCAGGGAAGTTGTTTTGAAATAGCGTCATCAAGGTCCTCTAACGGATTAAACCCAAGAATACATTGTTAGCAAAGTTATTCCTAAAAGGAATTCAGAATTATTGAAAGTTAATAGGTACATAATGGTATCCAAATGCATCAAGACAGAAGAGCCCGGACCAGCTCTCCGTCCACTAAAGATGCGCATAAACAGTCCCATCCCTGAGCTCATGAATACTCTCCGGATCCGACGGCGACCCAATCTCAGTATACCTCCTCCCATCCCTCAACTCATGAATAGTGATCCTCCGATGCGACTTCCTCCCCCGTCGATCCCTCCGAGTTGAGTCACGACGCCCCTCACGGCCCGGAAAATCATCAAGACTAGCGGTATCACTAGCCGCAACACTACTCATAGGCGTCATTTCCCTGCTGGCTTCCACGATTGATGCTTGTAGCTGGTTATCCACGATCATAGCTGCGCCGTCTGACTGGTACCAGTCGCGAAGGTAGGATACGTGGGTGCGTTCTTCGTCGTCGTATTCAACTGGTGGGCCGGTCATTTGTGCTTCATCTTGGGAAGGGCTGAAAACGGCCCATGCGCTTGTATCGGAGGAGACAAGCATCATGTAGTGATTGAAGCTCTTGACTTTGAAATTGCGGAGCAGGATAATGTCGCCTTCGGATACGGAGGGGAGGGCTTCGAGGTGAGGGCGGAAGATTTGTGCGGTGAGCGTGGTGCCGACCATGGAGGGATCGGTGAGGTATAGTGTCAGTGAGTAGTCTTTGTTCCCAGACGCGGAGTGGATTATGGGAGATGTTTCGGATACGACGGAAACCGCATCGATTAGGGCATCGAAGTGGTCGACGAGAGTAGAGAGAGGCGCGTAGTAGGAGTGTTTGCTGCGGAGCCCGGGATAGCGACGATCTGGGCCTGCGGGGTGCTGGGTATAGCTATCTGATTCTTCAATTGATTCGCGAACGCGTGTTTCATCTTGTAGCTGTAGTTGAAGGGAGGTTTCTTCGTTTGCGGCTTCCTGCGCTTCATCCGCTGCGTATTCGTTGGCTTCGGCCCACTCGTGTTGAGAGATTGAAGCGGAAGGAGACCTAGGTTCTTGCTCTTCCTGGGCTCGAACATCGTCCACTGTGTATTCGTTGGCTTCGGCCCATTCATGTTCGGAGACTGAAGCGGAACGAGATCTGGGTTCCTGCTCCGTGGTTGGCAGTACATTGTTCGCTTCTGGGACGTCGGGCGCTTCGACCATTGCCTCGTCATCCTCTGCCAGAATCTCAGCTTGTTCGTGTGAGGGCGCCCGATCCTGAGATGTGATAGCTTTCTCGTTTATAGAGTAGTTTTCGAAACCCTGATGGCTATATTCGGTTTCCACAGTATCATCCGTTTGTCGGTCATGGACCGAAAGACCCGAGGGTTCAAATGTCTCAGTAGTAATAGTCGTAGTGTCATGCCCAACTCGTGGAGATCTGGCGCCATCGTACCATAACCCAGAGTCCTTATCTTGATCCAACTCTACTGTCCTCGAGGGCTCTTCAAACCTAACTTCACCCTCTTCGACTTCTTGCCTTCCACTCGAACCGACGTCATCTCGGATGGTTTCAGATTGATACGAGGCGGCTCCAGGAGTCGTTTCTCGAGGGGTATGCGTACAAGGATTTTCATGAAGATCCTGTTCGGAATACTGCCGAAGGTCTTCTGTAACTTGTGCTTCCTCATGATGTTTTCCAGCGGCTGACTCGTCGACGTCAGGGCATGTCACTATTTCATATTCAGCTGAAGTTGTGGCTTCAACATCCTGTTTACCATGCTCTCGTTCGTCCTGCTTCTGCTCGTCCTCTGCTAGGCTGCCTTGCTCCTGGTCATCACTGGTCGGCTCTGCTACTTGCTCATTTTCGGTCCGGCGTGTCCGTTCAACCATTTTAACTTGGTCAGCCCGTTCTTCATCTCTCATTGCTTCCTCTTCGGCCGACTCTTCTTCTTCCTCAACGTAGTGGCCCTGCTCATCACCCCTCGCTGATCCAACTCCAGCCGGTTCTTCCTCATCCATGCTGTAGTCATCCTCATCGTCATCCTCAACATAGTGGTCTTGACCGCCATCTTTCACTGTTTCTTCTTCAGCCGCTACTTCTTCGTCTTCAACGTAGTCGTCCTCGTCCTCAACGTGATGGTCTTTTTCATCATCATATTCTCTCTCAGCCATAACCTCATCTTCACCTTCCTCGTCAGAAGTCCAATCCTCTTCCTCTGCGTGGCTTTCATCGTCAGACTGTTCTTGGTCAGAAGCAGGCTGTCCTTGTATGGGAGGTGCGCGCGTCCGTGCTTGGGAACTCGCATCGGGCTGTTCGTCTTCGTCATCACTGTCCAGAACAATGATTTCTGGTTGGGTATTATTTTGTGGAGGCTGAACTTGATACTGCTCGTCGTCTGATTCTGATTCTGAATCGACATCGTCTTCGTCGTCATTCTCATACACATACCCAGATTCGTAATCCCCTTCAGATGCCTCTTCGTCATCCATCTCTTCGTCTTCTTCATTCTCATCCTCGTCCTCAACATCCACCTCTTCATCTTCTTCAATATGATGACGTTGGTCCTTTGACTCGCTATAGGCTTCTGCTTGCGATTGAGCGGTTTTATTGGGACTTTCCGTGCTGTCTGTTGCATACTGTCCATTATGTAGTTCATGACTCCGCATGTCGATAGCTTGGTTGGCACGAGCTCCTTCCTCTTCATCATCTTCTTTCTCTTCTTCGTCGTCTTCTTCACTTACATTCTCGCTTTCTCCCTCTATTTCTTCAACGCCACTCTCTTCATCCGACGCCTCTTCCTGGGAATCCTCATCGTCTTCCTCATCATCCTCACTCTCGTGTTGTTTATTAATCAATGGATATTCTGCGTCCTCCATTTCAACATCTTCCGGGGGTTGAATTGCAATGTGCTCAATATGGGGCTCTTCCTCTACGGGAGCCTCCATGTTGGGAGATGGGGATGGTTCATTTTGGTGGACATCTGTGGCGGCTGTTTCATGTCGTTCATCAGACTGAACATCATCTTCTGTTATTAAATCCCCTGGCTCGGGGGTAGCACTTGCTATTGGATCTTCGGGAGCAGTCTCGTGGAGAGATACGGCGGCACCCTCATGTGTTGTCTGAGGAACAGGCGCACCAATTGTTTCTGTTTGGGTAATCTGTGTCCGCGTTTCAACATTTTCTTCGACTCTTGTGGACTCATATTGCGTCGCTGTTGTACTTTGCTGGGGTGCTGAAAGTTGCGCAATAGTAGCAGCTGCTGACGAGAAGTAGCCTTGTCGGTTATCTGCAGAAACAAGCGGAGACGGTACCGGAAGACCAGGAGACGGGATAGGAAGCAAACGTGGAGTATCCATTGGAATATGTAAGCCATTGACATGGAATCCCTTCTCATGAGCTTCACGGGCAACCTCTGCAGCTTTAGCCGCATCTTGCTCGGCCGGTTGTTCCACATCGGCGCTAGGTTCAGAAGTTGGTCGATCAACAGTTATTGCTGTATCCTCAGTAGTCGTAACAGGAATTGCCTCTGCGCCTGGTGAAGAGCCTGTTGTAATCAGCGTTTCTTGAGGCGCCCCGACAACTTCGGCTGTATTTTCCTTGTCAACCTTCGATTCCGGCTCTAGCTGTCCCGGCTCTGGCTCGGATTCGATTTCATCCTCAAGTTCCTCTGTCCAATCCACTGGGCTACCCTTCTCGTCAGGATCCGCAGGCTCATCAATGAAGCGCCATTCGCTGCTTCGCATGCTGAACCTGGGACGTTTTCTGCCTTTCCCCGGAACAAACCCATCTTCTTCTGCGAAAGGATCAAGCCTCGAATTAACACCGAACGACGCGCGGGAACGCTGGAAGAAAGCCGGAGACGTCCAAGATCCCAAACCACCAGTCGCGATATGTTCCCCAGGTCGTGTTCGGCTAGGCACAGGTGTAACAGGAGGTGCGGGTTCTTCTTCGATGCGCTGCGCAGGTTCGACGGGAGTGTCAACTTTCACGGTTGCGTAATGGTTCGACGAACGAGAAATCTAGTAGCAGTAGTCAGTAATCATACGAAACCCAAGTATCTTAATCCGCATGTACCTCAAGGTGCACGCGATTATCAAAGTGCACATCCCAAGCCACATATCGGCCTGGTGTCTGGGTCGCGGTTTCATTCTTATCCAGCCTGGACCCTGCTAGGCTAAGCACAACCTCATCGCCAATTCCAACCCGGGTCTCCGCGACCTTCTCTGCTACAAGTCCATGAAGCACCACTTTGACTTGTCCATTGGAGCGCCGGAGACGGAAATCGGGATCCGCCAACAGGAAACTGAACGCCTTGGTCGAGGACGAATAGGGCCACACCAGGGTTACTGTAGCGCGAATCGAGCTTTCCGATAAACGATCGAGGTCCGGGTTTATTTGCGCAATGGGAATCGTGGTTGGATGCCCGGGGTCTGAGCTCGGAGGTTGGTCGTTATTGGTGTCCATGATTGCGGGCGCGACGAAGTTTGCACATGTCCTCCTATCGTCGCATTTCCGAAAAAGGCCAATGAAGAGTGTAGGCCGGCTTTAATTCGTGAGACAAAAGGCTGAAGCTGAGCCAGCAGGCGCTGTGGTTTGTTGCAGGCTCAACGACGCGTTTTCTGTCAGGTTAACTTGCATCACCGAAAGACGTTTTGGTATGGCGATGTAATATTGCAGGTATCGGAGATAATAATGCGGGCTGATAATGTATCCGTATGTAATAGGATTACACTAATGTGCCTCAGGCACTAGTAGATAACTATAGTTAACTAACAGCAATATAAAATGCTTTTGCAATCGAATGCCTGCAATGGCGAATCCCATATGAATTGATTATTCTCTCCTTCACTCGCTGATATTCTCTTATCTCGCGCCAAAAGACTTCAATCACCTCATTACTTACCTTTCACATGCCATCCTCCGCACCCCGCAATCTTCTACACTGCAACTCTCTTATATCTGTTGCTACCCTCGTTGCCAGCCCCGGGACTGATTGAGAAGACATAGTCGTCCCATCGTATGTACGAGATAAGGTCTCTCTGTTTCCGACTATGACAGTATCCAAGCAAGTCAGCCGAATCGCGGTCATTGGTGCTGGTCCCTCCGGTCTCGCCGCAGTCAAGTATGGAGTCCCGGATCCCATTCTAGACGGGGTACATGAGTACCCGCTGACAAGATTCCAGATATCTCCTCGCTGAGAAATGCTTTGATAAGATTGATGTCTTCGAGAAGAGGAGCGCCGCTGGTGGTGTGTGGAATTACTCCCCCGGGGCACTGAAGAAGGAACTGTCCACTCCGGTACCACAACTCAATCCGAATGGGCCGCTTGAGGATCCCTTCTGGAGTCAAACGGGTCCAAAGGACGGGGCAAGCGAGGTGACATTTGTCTCCCCCGTTTATGACACGCTAGAAGCGAACCTGCCCAAAGAATTGATGCGATTCTCGGATAAGCTATTTCCTGATGAGGAGCAGGTTCTCCCGAGGCACTCGGTGATCAAGAAATATCTACATGGATATGCAGAGGATGTGAAAGACTTGATTCAGCTGGAGATTCAAGTACAAGACTTGAGACCAAATCCTTCCGGCGCCAATGGCTGGGCGTTGACGACAAGGAATTTGCGCACCGGAGACGATAAGACGGACTCTTACGATGCCGTGGTCGTTGCCAGTGGTCACTACGATGTCACCTATCTGCCAGACATTCCCGGCATTCGAGAATGGAATAAGGCGTATCCCAAGATCATATCTCATTCCAAGCACTATGACTCGCCACCGATCTTCCGTGATAAGAAGGTCGTGGTAGTAGGGAGCTCTGCGTCTGCGATTGATATTGGTGCTCAGATAAGCGAAGTCAGCAAGGGGAAGCTGCTGGTTTCAGAGCGTTCAGAGTCTTACTTGCAGCCGCCTCCAACTGCCGATAAAATCTATTTCCCTGAGATCGTGGAATTTTTACCGTCAGCCAACCATGACCGGGCCATTCGGTTTGCAAACGGTCAAGTTGAAAGTGAAATCGATGCAATCGTGTTCTGCACCGGCTATCTATACTCGTTTCCCTTCTTGTCTTCGCTTGACCCGCCTGTCATCACCGATGGTCGCAGGACAGTAAATACATACCAGCACCTTTTCTATACATACAACCCGACCCTGGTGTTTCCTCTCTTGACACAGAGGATTGTACCATTCCCGTTTGCTGAAAGCCAGGCGGCAGTCTTTGCCCGTGTCTGGTCTGGCCGCCTTAGCCTTCCCTCACAGGCTGAGATGATAGCCTGGGAAAAAGACTTGATTGCCGAGAAAGGTAATGGATCTTTCTTTCATTATCTACCATACCCACAAGATGCGGATAATATCGACCTACTTTACAACTGGGCCGCGAGTGCTGAAAAGCGCCCTGGGCTGGCCAATGACGGAGCCGGGAAGCTGCCCCCTCTGTGGGGAGAGAAGGAAAGATGGTTGCGATGTCACTTCCCGGACATACGGAAGGCATTTATCGAGCAAGGCGAGGCTAGACGGAACATCAGAAGCGTTGCTGAACTCGGTTATGGCTATGAACAGAGGAATGAACGAGAGCAAGAGTCTAAACTATAGACTACAGTCGCGAACATTATTATATAGATACAGCCACATAGTATACGTATATGTTATTGATTATAGAGCAATTTAGAAATCAGATACAAATTCGAGAGCTACTGGCATAGGGCAGATAACGCGCTTATCACGTGCGGGCGATCATCCCGCAGCTCTTCCGTCAACTGAGCTGTCGTGCATCTTGACAACTTCCCCCATACATTCACAACTCCAGTGACTTCTTTCGGTGTGGTGCCCTGGTTTGGCTCCGGATTGATTCACTCAAATCTATGTATACATTATAATAGCCAGCTTCTCTATTCGTTTCCCGTTCTCCATCATGGACTACCTCGCCTCGGCCGTGCTCTCTGACCGCGCATAATGTGGCGCAAACGTAAAGCGTCCTCTGTACCAGCGCGTTATACAGACGAACCCAGAAGGAAGCGATTAAGAAACAACCTTATCATATCATCCAGCGAAGACGAGGAAGAAAACGAGACCGAAGAGAGCGAAAACGAAGACAGTGGAAACGACGAGGAGTGGGATATCAAGTGCATCCTTGACGAGACCGATTCGCAATACCTGATTGACTGGGAAGGGCCCTGGTCGCCAACCTGGGTGGGTTTGAGATGAAAAGCGCTCGTTTCCGTGGAGTCCATTCACTCGCTGACTTTACGCGCCTGGCGATTAGGAACCGAAAGACAACGCCAACGACGTCGCAGTCAAGGTTTGGGAGGATATAAAGAAACAGAGAAGCAGTCGGACAAGAGCCCCATCATCGCCGCCTTTGCAAGCGCATTCACCGTCGTCATCGTCGTCAACGTCGGACACCCCCAGCCAGAGCTCCGTGATCGAAATCGAGAACACCGAGCCCGTTGAATGCGAAGTACAACAACCGATCCAGCAGGATATTCCTTACCCGCGAAGCCAACGACAAGCTTCTCCCCTTTTCGTACCGTTTGACGCTGCGTCGTCAGACGAAGAGGATATTCCTCTAGTCCGCTCGCCAAAAACGAGAGCACTGCTTCTCAGCTCATCGCAACGGGCCCCATCCAGTTCCAGAGTCGTCCCGTCATCCACCCAACAGTCCCGCAGCATCCCCGTGTTCGAGTACGTACGAAAATCTCCGATCCCGCAGGAATTCATACTACCCGGCGAGTCGAAAGAGACCCCCCTGAACATTTCGCAGACAACAAGCATATCTGAAGGTGCTCTTTTTGTGCCAGGGGGTGACAACGAACCGCGCTCCGATAGTCTGTGCGTTCCTGAGACAGACCAACAGCCACAAAGGATAAAAGAAGTCGGAGTACGTGAAAAGGCCAATCTTAACAGGTCGCCTTTCCCAGAACGAACAACGTCTAAACCTGGTAAAGAATTTGAGATAGCCGAGACACCACCTGCCTTGTTGGCCGCTCCGCAAACCCAGAATACACCATCCCGCTCATTTCGTCCTCAGGGAAGGGACACTGGATTACAAGCTCCAACGCAGTCAATAAACATCCAGTCCAATTTCTCTCAAACCTATTTATCCAGCGGTACTACATCATCAGGTTCGTGCTTCCCACCCAATATATTTGTCTGGTTGCTGATTCATTTATGTTAAGAAACATACTCATTCCACACGACTATCACTGCTGCTCGCACCAGACACGCCTCGACAATACCAGAATCAGTTGTACCGAGCCAAATTCAAGGTTCAACAGATATACGTTCGCAGGCTGGAAACCGCAGGTCTTTGCCCACCTGTGATACCCGTCCGGGAAATCCACAAATCAATACAATGGACGGCCAAAGCCAAAGCCCAAGGGCAACTCCCACCGGTAGCATCATGGATAAATACAGCCATATTGAAGGCGCTACTCCGAGGGAAAAGATGAGAAACGCTTATGCCCAGCTGCACGCTAAAAGCAGTCTATTTTCCCAGAATCCAGAACCTAGTGCAACCCCATCCTCTGCAGGAGATATTGATTCTTCAGCCTCATTACCGGTGCCAGAAACAGCACCGCTGAGTGTTAGACATGAAAAGGAACCTGCTCATATTGCGCAACCAAACATTGGACCAGCTCCTGCAACATCATTCGAGCCGCAAACTCAGATGGATCACCCTACCGTGCAAACTATTCAACCCAGCGCGTTAACATTCAATCTCGTACAGGATATCTCACCGGGATCTGTTCACCTTGGGCCGTCGGAATTCGCGATACCACTTCCGATGGACTCAAGGGTCAAGGACGACTATGAACGCGTTCTGGCAGATGGGGCGCAACTCATTAGGGAGTTTGTTCGGGCTTCGGGACCAAATGCAAACGTAGCTGCAAACGAGGTGAGCACAAAATCGATTTTCTTTGATATGCATTCGTCTAATATTTGGACAGCGCTGGGATCTTGTTCCAAGAGTACAGGGGATTCTGGAAAAGCTGAGCAATGTGTCAATCCACCCTGACCTAAATATTGCCGAGCATATCAGCGAGTCAGAGTCGGATTTGCAAAAAGAAGCGGCTTGGGCGGAGTATTCCAGCGCAAAGTTTCTCTTCTTAGGCTACCTTGTGCAACTTGCAAGCGATAGAGATCTGCACCTCGTGATCATGGTCCAGGGAGGAAAGACTCTCCAAATTCTGGAGCGCTACCTGTTGGGTAAAGGCCTCACATACACACGGCCACGCCAGGAAATGGGGACTAGCACCAACGTGGGAGTTTCCATGATGAAAGGTTCATTAAGCTTCGGAATTCAGTCAACGCAAAGTGAAGGTGTTATCGAGATTTATAAACGGCCGTCCGCAATTATTTCTTTGGATAGGTCTTTCAACGCGAAGAGTCCCTCGGTCGAGCACATGCGCACGACTTATGCTCGCGACGGAAGCTTATTACCAGTGATTCGTCTCCTTGTCTCCAACACTAGCGAGCATATCGAGCGCTGTTTCCATGACGTCTCTGGGCTTCAGCATCTGCGATTGGTCATACAGTATTCCGTTCGCCTACGTGATACGGTTGGTGATCTCCAAGACAATGCGCTTGGCGTAAGTGAAGACGCCGAAGAAGTCTTGTCGTGTCTTCAATCCGACAATTTTCACGCAAATTGGCCCCTACCAGCGATCGAGCCTTTGCAGATATTTAGTCCTGAGGAACTAGATTCTGCTGTGAATAGGAACCAGAGTGAGGCCAACACTGAGAGTGAGCCTACATCCTCCACTCAAAAACGTGGATATGTAAGTCACTATTCTCGCCTTTGATATATAGCCGTCTATCCATGAACCAGGCTAACATGAAAACAACAGGTTGAGGATACTGAAACACCAGTTTCCAAACGGCAACGTGTGGACCCATCCCAAGACATAAGCCAGCTCACCGCAGAGTCAACGAAGTTCCCCAGCCAAACACTGGGTACTGGCCTACAAGCTCTGGAAAGCAACCTTGTCCAGATGAAGACTGCACATGCAGCTGAGCTTGAGAAGCTCCGGAAGACTCTAGCAGAGACACAGTCCCGGTTACAGGAGAGGGAGAAAGCAATGGAAGCGCTTCAACATCGCTATGAATTCCGAACTCGCGAACTCCACAAAGTCCGACAAGAGCGTGATCGATCGGACCAGGCCAAGACTTCCGCAGAGCAGAGATCAGAAAGACAGAAGGAGGAGCTCACAAAGGTCAAGGACGAGCGCACAGAACTAAGACACGAGCTTGAGAAAGCCAGGGAATCTCTCAAGGTAGGCGGTGGCAGCATGTCAGAGCTAGAAAAGGCGCAGGAAGAAATCCGCCGCTTAGCGAAGGAACAAGCCGGGCTGGAGCGAAAAGCGGATTACGAGAAGAACCAGGCCGAATATACCCGCGAGCAGTACCAGAACGCCTCTAAAGTGGCCGCCCAATCCGGGAACGAGAATCGTCAACTGCGCGACGAGAACGAGAAACTTAAACGCAAGGTCGAGGGCGACGCTATTCGCCTCCGAGAAATCAACAAGAAGAACGACGAATTTCGGCATCTATCGCGCGTTGAAGAACTCGAAACCATCCTTGCCTCGCGGGAAGATCTGCTACGTAGAAAGGAAGATGAATTACGGGAGCTTCGCAAGAACCGACCATCTACACGTTCTACAAGTACACCGCGGAGTCCTAAATGGGCCGCAACGAGTCGGCCGGGTAGCCCTGGGATCAACAACAATACTGGCAACGGCAATAACGGCTTGAGCTATGGGAAAGGGAGCGCATTGAGGTTCAGTTCGGAGATGTCGCTGTGAACATTTGCTTTGCTTTTAATTTGGTTTTTGAATTGTTATGGAGTACACATTTGCCAGCTATTTATCTACGTGCCATTTTCCTGTTTATTGAGAAATTTTCAGATGGTTTTATACATACATATTGCATTCTGGCTTAGATATCGTCTTGCATCCAACTTGATACTCAATCCATACATCTTTTGCTCTCTTATCAATGATACCTGAGGCGAGCGATTACTCCATACATCGGTATGCAGATTTAGCGCCGAATCGGAAAATTGCCGAGCCCCTCCCCCAGGCTATATCGGTAGTTATTTATATTTAAGAAGCCGTTATCCAGCTCATGAGATTATTTTCAAACATGGAGCTCTACCGGTTGACTGCGATGCAAGCACTGCACAATATCCGGGCAAATGAGCTCACGGTCGAGGACTACGCCAAGTCGCTGCTGAAGCGCATCCAGGAACGGGACTCTGCCGTCAAGGCGTGGGCTTATCTAGACCCAGTACAGGTGCTGAACGAGGCTAGGAGACTGGATCAGATCCCACAAAGCCAGCGAGGTCCTCTCCATGGTGTTCCTGTTGGTGTAAAGGATGTTATATACACCAAGGGTACGTATATATACCTTACAGTTCTCGGGCATAAACAAGAGCTGATAAGCGAGATAGGCATGCCAACACAGCACAATTCATCCCTCTACGAAGGAAGTGCACCACAGGTAGACGCTGCGTCGGTTCTCATTCTACGCAACGCTGGCGCTTTGATACTCGGCAAGACAACAACCACCGAATTCTCCGCAACAACAGAAGGTCCCAAATCCCGCAACCCCCATGACCAATCGCGCACCCCAGGAGGCTCATCTTCTGGCTCCAGTGCAGCCGTTGCGGACTTCCAGGTCCCCGTGAGCCTGGGCACCCAAACGGGGGGCAGCACGATTCGACCCGGCTCCTTCAATGGTGTTTGGGCGCTGAAACCAACGTGGAATGCGATCAGTCGCGAGGGGCAGAAGATATGCTCACTGAACTTTGACACGCTGGGACTGTTCGCTCGTAGTGTCGAGGACCTTGGGCTACTCGCGAATGTTTTTGGACTTGAGGATGATGAAGCGCCGCCAACGAGGTTTTTGATGAAGGGAGCAAAGTTTGCAGTCTGCAGAACCCCGATTTGGGAAAAAGCAGGTCCTGGTACAAGAGCTGCGCTGGAGAAGGCTGTAGCGCTATTGAAGGTCCACGGGGCCCAAGTTGACGAGGTTGACCTTGGATCAGACTTCAGAAACCTCCCGCAATGGCATGCTACCGTACAGGCCACTGATGGCCATGTATCTTTCCTACCAGAATATCGGCGACCAAAAGGCAAGGAAAATCTTGGCCCGTTGGTCGTGGAGCAAGTCGAGAACACAGGAAGATACACCCATGCGGATCAACTACGTGCATTAGACGGTATGGCTGCTCTGCGTCCGAAAATCGACACTATTGCTGGTCGCTATGCAGCAATCCTCACTCCGAGCGTTGTCGATGAAGCACCTGTTGGTTTCCATACGGGGAGTTATGTTTTTAACAATATCTGGACTGTACGATACAGACCTAACTAAATTCTTCCGCGAGAACAATTTGCTGACTTTTTCAGGCACTGCATGTCCCGGTTATCAACGTTCCAGGGTTCCGAGGTAAGCATGGATTGCCAATTGGGTTGTCGTTGATTGCGCCAAGGTACCATGACCAGTGGCTGCTTAGTGTTGCTAAGGAAGTGGGCAGGATATTTGAGTCTGAAGGTGGATGGAAGTCGAAGCTTTGATGAGTTTTCAGGTTTATATATCGCGCCTTACTTGTCCATAGTCATTCATAGAGCTAGCATTGAGATATACATCGAGCGTGCAAAGACCACTTGAACTACTGGACTTAAAAAGCAATATTGAGGAAAATATGTATTAGACTATTGACCGTTAACTCTCCATGCATATATCAAAATCAATGACTAGTATATATACGTGGACAGACACAACCCAACGCCTAACAATAAATAACAACAGACCCAAAATGAGCGAAACGCCAATCAGATATGTCCAATCAACAAAAGAAAAACGAAAAGAACGCCGTTAGATATTCTCAGCTTGCCATGGTATTCGCCATAAACTTCGCCAACTCCTTCCCAGCTTCTCCCCGGGTCATATTGAAATGATTCGCACCCTCGATAACAGTTACCCCACCAATATTCTCCTGTCCAACCAGTGTATCCCACTTATTAGGACCCAGGTCCGTCCGGTTGTTAAGCAACCAAGTCATTTCCCTTGGATCGGGGCTGCCGTCCTCTGCTGGCGGGGGATAGGGGCTGTCCTCGTTCGGACAGACACCATCCTTAGCCCAGACGAGGAAGGTCTTAGGAGTCTTCTTGCCGAGCGCAGGATCTGAGAATGGGAATGGAACGGCCTTATATGCATCCAGGGAGTCGATAAAGGAGAGGAAGTGAGGAAGCAGCCACTTAGGTGGCGGTGTCTTGCCATCACCAAAGAGACCGATTGTGTTGAAGAAGCTGTAGAGACGGGGCGGCAGTTTCTCGAGACCAATGGGGAAGGGGCTGTCGAGAAGAAGAAGGCGGTCGACTTGCTCGCCTTCCTCGAGGATGAGGTAGCGCGCGGCGTCGTAGGCACAGATACCTCCTGCCGACCAGCCACCGAAGCTATAGGGACCCTTTGGCTGGCGGCGGCGGATTTCCTTCAGATAGGGCTTGGTGATCTCGTCGAGGCCGAATTTGAGGTTCTCGGGTGTTTTCATGTAGGGACAGTTCAGGCCGTAGACGCAGACGTCAGGAGAGACACCAGGGATTGTGGCGTAGGATGTGGCGGAGCCAGAGCCGTCAGGGAACAGGAACAATGTCGATGTGGCGGTCTTCGGGTTTCCTTGAAGCAGGATCGAGGTTGCGGGAGGGTGCTGGATTTCGGTGGACGAGCTGACCTTGGGCGTCATATCTTGCACAGATCCAGGTAGCTTGATCGGTTCAGGGACAGGAGTCGGAGTGGGGGCTTGCTTTGGCTTCAAGTTCAGGACCGTGGCGATGTCGTCGAGAGTCTGGTGTTCGATGAAGAAGTCACCAGGAAGATCCAAGTCCAGCGTCTCCCGAATCCTACCAAGAGCCGTCAGGGAGAGCAACGAGTCCATTCCCATCTCTCCTAGGTTGGCCTCTGGTGTGATATCACCCTCTGAGACACCAATCTCCTCCATAAGGATAATCTTGATCTCCTTCAAGCTATCGTTCATCTCGACTCGCGAGACCTTCTCGTTCGGGGGAGAAATGATACCTGGGGATCCTGCACTGGAAAGTTCCGTCGAAGAAGAGTCACCGAGTACCGAGCTCGAATCGGACTCACTTGGTGATCCCTCGCTAGTATCAGCGGGGCTCATCTGGGCAACGAAGCGCTTGAAATCCTTGACTGTGGGCTGGTCAATGAAGACAGAAGATTCCAGATCAATGTCAAGCTCTTCACGATATCTGCCAGTGACGGTCAGCGAAAGGAGAGAGTCTACACCGTAGTCTGCGAAGACCATGTCGTCGGACATCTCAGACTCCGACAATCCAACCTCCGACGCGAGGATTCTCAGTGCGCGAGTAATGATACTCGGCCCGGAGGACTTGGTGGGTTGTGGACGGGTATTCTTCTCGACTCCAACATTCGACTTCTTGACATCAATGGATGCGCGCTGAGCGGGCTTAGAGGGAGCGGGCTTGGATGCTCCAGCGGGAGGAAGCACAGTATCGAGGATCTTGCGTGGCAACGCTTGGAACTATTCTATGTTAGCATCTTTTTCCTTCTAAAGAAGTACCCAAGGAGTAGACTTACCCTGACACACCCAAACACGCCGACAACCTCATCACTGTCATCGAATATCCAGACATCACCTGCCCAGATGCTGTTTTGCCAGGGCTGCATCCTCACGTAAGTGCGGTAAGTGATATCCGGCGAGAACTTCTTCACGCAACGCATCGAGTCCCATCCGTGGTTAACAAACACCTGGTTCTTCGAGTCCGTCGCATCATTGGCATTCATGACGAATCCAGACAAGTGACCACAGCTGTCAATCCAGAACGGGTTGCGGTGGAAGTCTCCAGGAGGAGCCTGGAACTTGACAAGCGCAGTAGCTTCGCTCTGCTCGCTGTCGAGGATCACCTCACGAATCGATCGGAAGTTATCGTCGTAGTCAACCAGAGCGGCGAAGAGCTTGTAGACCATTCCGCGTTTCATGCGGTGGGCATCGCCTTCTTCTGCGCTTTCTTGGAGGCGTTCGATGCTCCGCTTGATCAGATAGGTCTGGCGCTTCCATTCGAGCTGGACGGCGTTGCAGTCGAAGAACTTGACGAGGAGGGCTCCGTGCTCGAGGATCTTCTTGCCGTCGGGGTTGACAGAGTACACCTGCAGAGTGACGTTCTTCTCCTCCCAGTTGGCGGTAGCAGAAACGCGGAAGAGCTCTTGGCCGGTCTTTGCGATGAGAGGCTTTGTGATCGCCACGTCGCAAACATCGAGACCCGTGCCCTTGAACTCAGGCTTGTACTTCTCGATCAAGTACTCTCCAAGAGTCTGGGCAATATCCGCGTAGAGAGACTAGACAACGTTAGCATGATACAAATTCGTGAAAATAAAGAATAAACATACCGAAGGACAAAGAGCAGCTCCATTGACCCTGTGGCCCTGGATAACACGGCTCAACTCCGGATTGGCGACACTGTTCTCAATAACCACAGTGGCGATCGTTCCCTCATTCCGAGTCTCAATGATCTTCTGCGCAGCAGTTGTCAAGTACGTAGACTCAGGCGCGGCCTCAGCAGGAGCACTGGCAGGCGTCCCCTTAGTGAGACAGAAGTCGTTGGTGTAAGGAATCCAGTAGTTCTTGAGGTCCCAGTTGTAGGCGGGTAACCGAAGAACTTGGTGAAGGGAGCTAAACGCTTGGTGGTATTGTTTCCAGTGAAGGTCAATACCAGCCAAATAGATAGTCGACAAGCTGTTCGCGAGAACCTTCCATGTGTTCTCCTCGCGTCGGAGGGAAGCAACGGTGGTCGTTTGAGGACCCAGCGTCGCCTTAACCATTCCCGAGCAGATGGTGTGAGAGCCAATCTCAACCCAGACGGTCTTGTCGTTCATTAGCTTGCCATGTCTGGTAGCCTCAAGGGCACCGAGGAAGTTGACGGTCTCGCGGCAGTGGCGTGCGAGGTACTTGGCTCCAAGGACATCAGAGTTGGATTCCGAGATGACTTCACCAAGCAAGGCCGAAACGAACGGGATAGACGGCTTGTTGAAAGTAACGCCCTGCGCAACTACCTCCAAGCCTGCAAGAATAGGGTCAACCTGGGACGAGTGGAAGGCAAACGGCACCTTCAGCTTAGTCGACTTGATGGTCGCACCCGAGAGCTTCTGGGCCAAATTGTCAATGTCGTCATTCAGACCACTGATGACGGTTTCCACAGGGCCGTTGATGCAGGCAACCTCATGCACGGCCTCGTCCATGTGTTCCTTGAGTTGAAGGAGAGGAGCCTTCATGGCAAGCATGGCATGGGTTCCAATCTTGCACTGTTCCGTGAGAAGTTGCGCCCGACGACCACAAAGGTAAATCGTATCACTAGGCGTCAGTACACCGGCAACGTTCAGGGCAGCGTAGTCACCAAGGCTGTGTCCAATAACGAAAGCTGGCTCCACGCCCAACGAGATCCAGTGGTCGGCCAGGGCCATCTGCACGCAAGTAGTTCCGAGTTGAACGACAACAGGACTCAACTCTTCCACGGGAACACTTCCATCGACAAGGGGAAGAATCGACGGGAATCCTTGGCTGTGCGCAATGTGATCGAAGTGCTGGATAGCAATTTGGAACTCTGCGCAACTCTCGTAGAGCTGCTTGCCCATGCCAGTGTATTGGGCTCCCTGGCCAGTGAAAACAAACCCTGCATTGGGAGCGTTCGCGGGAACCGGGCTGAAACTCTCGGGACGAGCTGTCGCAGCAAGATTCTCACTAAGTTCCTTCAAGGACGATCCAGTAGCAGAAACACGGAAAGAGTGGTGGAAACGACGAGCAGTGGTGGTATATGACAGGTTGGCTAGGAGATTGGGTTCGTTCACCTCGAAAGACTTTGCCGAGATTTCGATGTACTTCACAAGAGCGTTGATGTTGTTCCTGAGGGCGCTCTGAGACCTTGCCGAGACAGTCACCATGTGAACGTCTCGGGAATCCTGGACGTCGCGCTGAGTAGTCTCAGGACCGTCTCCCAGCAGAAGAGCAGTGTTACCACCAGCTGCTGAGAAGTTGTTGACAAAGGTCATCCGCTTTCCGGACTGGGGTCTGTTCCAAGGAGTTGGCTGGAAGGCGATGTGCACATTGCGCTGCTGCAAGTCGGTGGGAAAGTTGTGGTTGATTTTGGTCTTGATACCACAATGGGGAGGAATGAGGTTCTTCTGCATCATTAGAAGCACCTTTATTAGAGCAGTGACACCGGAGGCCGATTCGCCATGGCCAATATTCGCCTTAGCGGAGCCAAGATGAAGGGACTGCGTGGGGCCACGGCGATAATCAGGAGCGAAGGTATCGAGGACTGATTGCATTTCGACTGCATCGCCAGCCTGCGTGCCAGTGCCATGCATCTCAATATAGCTGACATCTTTGGAGTCGACATTGGATTCGTTGAGCAGCTTGTCGAAGATGAATGCCTGCGCACCAGAGTGAGGACGGGTAATCGACACAGACTCTGCGGAGTGGTTCGTATATGCGCCGTTGATGATACCCAAGATCGGGTCGTTGTCCGCTTGCGCATCCTCGAGTCTCTTCAGAATGACAGTACCCACACCATCTGCTCTGCAATACCCATCGGCACCATCATCAAAAGTATTGCAGTTGCCAGTAGTCGAAAGGAAATGACCGCGATCCAGACCTGCATGGTTGTCAGGGTTGGTCAGGATGTTGACACCACCAGCCAGGGCGGAGTCACAGTCATTTCTCCAGATGGAATTGCAGGCCAAGTGAATAGCGGCAAGACTGGAGGAACAGGCAGTATCGACACTGACGCTAGGACCACTGAATTTGAAGAAGTAGTTGATTCGTCCTGGTGTGAAAGCACGGTTGCCTCCCGGAATGAAATAGGTGTCGATGTCTTGACCACTGTTGATCTCACGGTAGTCGTCACTGGTCATTCCGTAAAAGATACCGACTCGATTCTTCTGGGTGGAAGGCGTGCTGTCGGGAACGAAACCTGCCATTTCAAGAGCTTCATATGCCGTAAGCAATGCAATTCGCTGGGCAGGATCGGCCTGCAAGGCTTCACGGGGAGACATGTTGAAGAAGCGCGGGTCGAATAAGCCGGGCTCGTTAATCCAGCATCCGTGGGGGATCTTGCTCGTGTTCCTCGTTTTCCCAGTCGGGTCAACATGGGTTTTGATATCCCAACGGTCCACAGGTACTTCCCGGTGCACATCGAGGCCCTTGTACAGAAGGTCCCAAAACTCCTCAGGATCTGTGGCCTCAGGGAAGCGTCCAGAATAACCGATGATGGCAATATTGGAGTGTTCAGATCTGCCGGTGGTGCTGAAGCCATTGGGTTCGTTCGGAATATCCCCAAGAGCGCTGTCCACATCGATATTTGTGACACCAGCCTTTTTGAGGGTCGTGTGGAGGCTCTGAATCGCAGAGCTCGAGATTGGCACCAGTGTGCATGCGGAACTGGCGTTATCCTTAAGTCTCGATACGCACGACTCGGTGACTTTGTCCCAGCACAACTGTCGCAAAAGGATCTCTTCCACAGATGCCCTCAAAAGCACATAAATGGCCTCTGCGTCAATCGCACTGCCGGTGTTGCTCGAAAGCACAGGAATTTGAGGTACGTAGCTGGAGAACGTATCCTTCGGCCAGGAATCAAGGACCCTATCCACATCGCGTGCGTCGTATAGATGTGTCGCATGATAAGGACCATGAATTGGAGCTCTCACGAGCTTGTGATCCTTTGACAAACTCGTTTGGATGAGCTGATCAAGCGTCGATGGAGGTGCACTGATGGTAACCCCATTAGCGGAGACAGCGCTAATATACGGCTGCGAAGAAGGAGGAATGGCCTGGAGCAGTCAGAGTTTCGAATCTAGAAGAAAAGAATGCTGCAGGGCCTACCTTCTGGCCGGAAAATCCGCGGATCTTATCCAGGGCTTCACCTTCGCCAATTCCAGAAACCAACGCCGACCAGCTCGACGAGCTTGATGTTCCTCTGTCCACCAGCTTTCGAACCGAGTGAACACAGAGCCCAAGCCGCAGAGCGAGCACTACTGTCTCGACAGCGACTGGAATCAACTCTCCCACGGTTTTCGAGCAGCTCACAGCAGCCGAAGGTAGGAGGCCAGTGCATAGACCGACAATGACAGAGTCGGAACCCGAAGGATATGCATGGCCGAGATCGCCATAATAGCTATGGGCGTACGTCAATACATGCCACGAAGAATAGCATAGAATAACAAAGGGGGTCTTACTTGATAAAACAGCCCAACTCATAGATGCATGTCAGGGCACTTTCCAGAGCCGGGTTTACACCTGACTCACGATACCGTGCGAGTAAGTCGACAATGCTAGTGAACCGCGGGAAAATCTGTCGCCGAGAAGGAGGGAGCTTCGTGATCTCCCGGCGGAGAGCAAAGAAGCACTTTTGAAAAAATGCCGTCACGAGCGAACTGTTCTTAGCATGTAACAGACGACGTAGACCGGCATCAAAATCACCCGTCTGGTCTCCGAAGAGATAGACGCGGCGGAGACCCTCCATTGTCTGGAACGATTTGTCGATCGAACGTTGCAAACTTTAGAGGGCGAAGACAAACAATCCCAATAAAGACGACGGATCAGACCCTTTATACATTATGAAGACGGTTTCCCGGGGAGATCCACTTTTATTTCTTTTCGAATCCGATTAATCATAAATCGTAATAGGCGTCCTTACGGGTAAATCCGTTGACATGCAGGATCATGTCTAGTTCTGCTATGTGGAAACCTGGCTGTTTACGGTAACATTCCCACTTTCCGATTTGTCGAGGCCTTTGAGTGAAGCAATTTGTCAGGCAGATGCTCGTGCTGTGGCGCCATGCGATACAGACAGCTGCAGCCGAGCCCTAGGTAAATACTACCGTTACCGTCAATCTGGGGACTAAGATTGGAAACCAGACGTGAGGATGCCCGTATTTGCGGTAAGGACTGGCCACGAGGGAGAAAGGACCCATTCTGGCCCTCGATCCGCATCCAAGGAATGTAATGTCTCAGTGAGCATTGCCGTTTTCAGCCATGGACCGCCGGTGTATGACAATTGTTGATGGGGGCTCGTCCATGACACATCGACGACTCATGTCCACTCGCTTAACCTAAAACTATTCAGGGAAAAAAGGGGGATCCGGAAACAGAGAGACTCGATGAGACATTGGTTGTGGCTGCAGAAATCGAAGTCGGATCAAAGTCGAGGTTGCATTCCAGGCGGCCCGTGATCCGCACGTGACCCAAACTAAGCCTTTTTATTCCTTTCTCTTTTTCTTTCGAGGATGAGGATGCGATAAAAGAAAAGAAAGAAGAAAAAAGAAAGAAGACCATTTTCCGAAGGTCATTGTGACCATCCATAGCATAAGACAAATCCGACTATAATGCCCGACGGATGGACAATTCTATGCCTGGGAAATCGTCGGTGTCGACACTCACCTGGCCATCTGCATATAGCGTATAATGCACATATAATAGTCGTAGCATGATCATCTCCTTGGTAAATATCGAGATGAGCCAATAGGAGCGCCTCAGGTGAGATCTACATGTCTGTTCTGCTTACCAGGTGCAGTACCCCGGTTCGTAGATCCTCGCCACCATGTGTTAAGAGTTTTGACTCTGCGCGTCATGATAGCAGGCCTAGATCATAGCCCAAAAGCTCGCACTATCGCGAACACGAGCTGGTGTTGGAATGAGTTGTGTGATCCTATCCCGACATGCCGCTGTACGAGTCGGCAATGCGGCAAACGAGAGCATGATTCATGCTCTCGTCTACACGAACAAAGAAATACTTATCTTTATAATTACTTTGAACAAGTGTCAAGTCATTGGCACCGTCGGGCTTAATACCCGGAAGGTTCCAGCAGAGTGACAGCTCGGATACTGAGGCCGAGAGTCATTGACTCATCGCGAGAAAAAAGCGACCTCGGTTCTCGAATAGGGTAGCATTGAGGTACAGAAAAAATCGCACAAGAACCATTATGACCTGGCGATGCATTTCAAGCACCCGCGATTTACGACAGACAGCTGGGGAAGGGCTGATTCACGAAGCACTTTGGGTTAAACGTCAGCATAATGTGTTCTGTTAGGGGAGCAAGCATAAAACACAGCAGGAAAATGGCCAGTGCGCTGCTTGCTCGTGTCAATTCGAGTACATATCAACGTCTCTTAAGCTTGTCTGAATAAGACGGCCAGCAAAGAACACACTCAGCTCACTCAATTGCCAACACAGACTTCAAGTTATGTAAGCCGGCTTGCATGCATACAACGTGCATCTACCGCATATGGTAGGATGTTTGCGCATGGCTGAATCGGGCAGTCTCCTTGCCCTCCCCCCGCGGCAAGGGTCAATGGTTGGAATGTAAGCCATTGCACATGATTGGATGCCAGGTTTTCGCGCAGAAAAAGCCAATCCCATCAATGTAAGTGGAGAGTGTTTTAGTATCCTATTGCAAGTGGTGGCTACAGCCGTGGCCAATTGGATGCATGGTGAGTATCGAAGTAGCAAGACGATGTAGTAGTCGTACTGGAGATTGTCTTTAGAAGCTGCCTTTGCTTGAGGAAGGCCGTCACATTCCAGTGATGGTACCGGGAACCGGGAATCCCTCCTAGCACCAAATTGAAGCACAATTAGAAATCATAGAGATAAACAGCAAGCCACAGTCTCTGTAGCAATGGTAGCAGTCTCTATATGCCGGCCGGAAGCTAATTTCGAGGGTGACTCCCCGTAAGTTTCCCATATAGCCATTGTGAGCAGTACATATTTAGTTATCGTGAAATCGCGATGCCCCATGCCATGCCATGGATAGTAGTGCGGGTAGCGGGAGTAAAAACCATGGATCGAGCCTCACGAACCCTTCCGAGATCTCTTTGAGCTGCACCTGGAGAAAGCACACCGGCGACTCGGTACAGCATACTAGAGCTATACGGTTACCAGGAGGATGGAGGCGGTGACTAAAGCCAAGCGCTGGTTGGGATGAGACGAGGAGAGTAAGAGTGGTTGGTGGTGATAAAAAGGACCAGAGAGATCGATCACGGGACGTGCACATTAAGCTTATCGATAAGCCGTCCGTCCGCGCTAAGCCCGATTAAGCGCCCACGTAAACACGGCCAAAAACAGGCCGGTTCGAGTTGGGCCTCACCGTCAACTTCTCTCTCTCTTTCCAACCATCTTGCTCTCCCTTTCTCTCTCCCTATCGATATCCAACATAGACTATTCCTTTTCAGCAGGGCCTGTTTATCAGTCCCCTCGCTCCTACTCGTCCATCTTCCCTCTCGTTTATCGGTTACTATGGGCGTCGCTGCTCCCTTCCGTGGGTCCTAATCCAAATTCCCATATCATCCTGTCAACGACCGTGCGTCGCCCCGGGCATATTTTTCCTGTATTAGAGATTCAGCTGCATCTTTTTCGCCACATACATCTGGAGTACATATCGGATCTATCCATTCCGGGGCGAAGTCGATTTGATCCAGCCTCGTGTGGCTCCCTCCGAACGTGATGGCACCCGCCGCCCCCCAGCTTCCGCCTCGATTTCCCTGCTGGTGTCGAGCTGTTTACTCATGGGGAGGAGAAACCAAACGGGATCTGGGGTTTGTGGAGGGGGATTTGATTGAGTGCTTGAATGCAGGCGATGGACAATGGTGGATGGGTCGTTTACGCCGTGACAGGCGCATGGCTGGCCTGTTTCCTTCCAACTTTGTCGAGGTGCTGCGTGAGGATTTTGTGCCTGTGAATCGGCCAACAAGTCCAATGGTCAAGGCAGGCCCGTCGCCTATCACAAATCCGACTGCTGCTCCCAAGAAACAAAAGACCGTCTTCCGAAAACCGTTTCAAGCTCACAAGGAAGCTTTGGCTCCATCGGGTGACCTAACGCGGAATAACACAACGCTCAACAGTCTTACCGCGAGCTCAATCCCTCAAATTCCCCCGCGAAATGGCAGTCTTCCAAGAAGTGTCAAGCCCTTGCGGACTGCGACCAGCTTAACCAAACAGCAAAGCTCTTTGTCCAAGGCCCCATCCCAGTCCACCAGACCTCCGTCTCGCGCTGTGTCCCCCCGACCATCCCAAGATTACGACGCACCACCCCCCTCCGTACCAAGTAGGCAGAGCACCGCACTTTCCCGCCCTCCTTCGCGACCAGCATCTCCTCGTGTTCCATATGATGCGGAAATGACACCGCCTGCTGGCCCGGTCAGGCAGGGTTTCTCAGATCCCGCACCACCAGCGCCATTACATTCCGGATCTTCATACATGCCGCTGGAGCCCGAGGTGCCACCAGAAGTCCCAAGGAGACAAAGCATCATGCATTCGAGGCACCCTTCACGCTCTATCTCTCCCCATATCCCCCATGGAACAGAAGTGGCCCCTGTTGTTCCGCTCAGACAGAGTAACTCTCAAGCGATGGTTTTAGCACGTCCAGTCTCTCCTAATGTGCCTTATGAATCGGATATACCGCCACCGGTGCCGACCCGACAAGTCGTCCCGCAGAGAGGGCCATCACCACGTCCAGTTTCCCCCAACATACCGTACGAATCCGATCTGTTGCCGATTATCCCCGCCCGGCGAAGTTATGCACAACCCCGTCCCGCTTCCCCCAATGTACCGTATCAAGATGACTTTCCTCCGCCTGTTCCTGTCAGGCAACATATATCACTACCTAGACCTCCGTCGCGCGAGGTTTCTCCGCTGGAGCTTCAGGAACGGGAAGAGTCACCACCGCCACCACCACCTCCACACCGAGTTGCTGTCCGACGCGAACCCTCCAGGGAGTCACTTATATCTAGGGAATCACGTACCCCTGCGCCCTTGGAAATGAATGATCGATACGTCACCATGTCTAGGACCCCGTCTCCAGCTGCCCGGTCCGATGCCAACGGAAACACGCCATCCCCGCTTAGAGACGCTATGGAGGACGTGATGACCTCGTTGGAAGACATGGGCATGTCTCGAGGACAGCCCTCGCCCTCGCCCTCGCATTCACCTTCACATTCTCCAGTCTTCGACAACCCCTGGTCACCAGACGCTTACGATAGCTATAGAGGAGACAGACCTCTTCAGACTCGTGGTCGGGCGTTAACATCTTTAGGGTTTGAAAGGGAGGGAGACAAGGACCAGTATCATTCATACAACGGCGCTCTGACGCACCGGAATAGTGTTTATGCGCAGGATCACCATATGGATGGCCCCCCTCAGATCAACAATTATGTGCAACGGATGGAAAGCAGACTCCGACAAATGCAAGAACAAACACGTAGAGGCTCCGAAGATGTCAAGTACCCAGGCGACGGCGACGACGACGACGACGACGACGAGGACGACGCCCCATCACCGCCACCTAAGAACGTCCCTTACCACACGAGACATAACTCTATTCCGGTTCAGCGTCGCCATTTAAGAGGTCGACGATCAGGGCAGGATGTACATCGCGACATTCTCAATCGGAGCGCCACCAACAAATCGAGCACCACGAATTCGTCCAGCGGCGTGCAAAGCAACAGCACGAATATGACAAGCAGCACTGG